AAAACGGAACGTGAAACTCCTGAAAATATGGTGACGTAGAGTTGTAAAAAATCTTTGGAATGAGAGTTCTCCGAATGAGGCAATGTCTATGTTACTTCTTCCCATTTTTTAAAAGTTCTCGAACTGCTGGGACCGTGAAGAGGAAAGGCTGAGTAGGAGGAATTAACCTGGACAGAAGATCTGCCTGAAATGCTAGACTCTTCTTTCTTCGTGGCTTGTAGGGTGTGTGGGAGGGGCTCCAGGACCAGCGATATGGCACACGTACGTGACAGATGGCAGCTACTCTTACCGGGATACTCTTTGGGCCACGCATTATCTGGGGCTTGATGACCATCTGTAACTCAGTGTGATAGAGCGGAAGCTTCTGAGAACACCGAGATCAGAGCTGTCAGTTCATTGTTGAGCAGTGTTACAGAACTGACTGCGTGTAGGCTGAGCTGAGTAACCTTTCTGGGGTCGACTTGAGACATTTGGCTTGTGGGTCAGGGGTTTTTTGTGGAGGATTAAAGTGCTAGTAGCGGCCGGGCGCGGTGGCTCAAGCTTGTAATCCCAGCACTTTGGGAGGCCGAGGCAGGCGGATCACGAGGTCGAGAGATCTAGACCAACCTGGTCAACATGGTGAAACCCCGTCTCTACTAAAAATACAAAAAATTAGCTGGGCGTGGTGGCACGTGCCTGTAATCCCAGCTACTCAGGAGGCTGAGGCAGGAGAATTGCCTGAACCCAGGAGGCGGAGGTTGCGGTGAGCCGAGATCGCGCCATTGCACTCCAGCCTGGGTAACAAGAGCGAAACTCCGTCTCAAAAAAAAAAAAAAAAAAAAAGTGCTAGTAGCGTGCTGGTGGCTTGTACTCCTGGCCTTTGCCCCTATATGTTCTGCGTAGTTGGAGTCAAGCAGCCTGATGCCAGACTGGGGACTCTCCAGGCCAGGTCGGATGCAGGAGCCCCTGGGGTACCTGGGCTCAGGGCGAGGCAGCCCCGTCTCTTGACAGAAGATTGGCTTACAGCCTTCATTGGAGGGAGAGGAGTAGACTAGAACCATCCGTAGCGATCCCCCCACTCCTACGCAGGCTATCTCATGGGAACGGCTGTTACTTCACTCCCGTCTGTTCTTAGCCATGCCTTGCCTAGTGCCCAGCCTTGCTTGGCATTCCTAGTGGAGATGGAGCCAGTTTAAGGCGGTGCAGCCTCTGATCTGAATTAGACTGACCTGGAGGTTATGGAAAGGGCAAGCAAGCCGTGACTGTGAGAACTGCCACCTGCTTTATCACTTGGGGAGCATAATGGCAATAACACCCTGAGAGGAAAGGCTTGGAGTATTCAGCAGCTCCCATCTCAGCCGTGCTGCGTGGCCCCACAGCAGAGAGCCTTTGATAAAAGTGGCTTCCTAGAACAGGGATTGAAGTCGAACTTGCTTGTAAAAGCATCTAGAGGTATGTTACTTTCTTATTTAGAGCCCAACAGAGAGACCAAGACCACGAGGCTTCACCTGCTGGACAGCAGGAACTCCCACAGCCTCTCTGCTTCGTCCGGGTCCCCCTCAGAAGCAAGGCTGCTGTGGCTAATTGATGTATCAAAGATGTCATCGCAGCCATCGATGGGGAAAACATCAGCAATCTAATGCACTTGGAAACTCACACACAAAAAATCAAAGGCTGGGCAGAAAACGGGACTCTCCCAGAAGCCAGATCTGAATATAAAATCTAGTCTCTTGGTGATGGCGGAAAGGAAGTGCCGTCCATACAAGACGAAGTTACCCTCTGAACCCCGGGAGGTCCTGCATGTAGGGTGTGCCTGCAGTCCAAGTGTCAGGCTCTTGGCTGCCTCTCCTGCTTTCAGCAGTGGCCCTGGGGTCATCCAAACCAGAGCAGCCACCCCGCCGGCCTCTCTTCTGAAACCATCTCCAACTTTCATAACACCTCGAGATACCATATTGCCGGTATTTCAGAACTGCTGCCGGCAGGGAGGAGGCCAGTGGCCTGCCCATACGTGTTCAGCCTCCAAGCGGCCTCCTCATCCACAGAGAATCTGAAGTTCACAGGATGCTTCAGGACAAGTAGCAGTTGAATGAACCCTTGAAACAGTCCACCTCTTGCCTAATTTTGCAGGAAGTCCTGGAGTATGAGATAAAAGGGGATCTCCGCAACCGTCAGGATTCAGAAATGTGAAAACTCCCGACACCCAGTGGCTGCACCAGTTGGATGCTGAGAAGGTGCCCGTGTGTGACAGACGTGGCCCTGGCAATGCAGGCATGTTTGTAAAGCTGCTGGGACCGTCATCCCCTCCCTGAATGTTACGTGTGCAGTGACTGACGCTCACCCGAAAGAGAAGGGCCTGTGTTTTCTTTTTTTGGTGGAGGATCAAATCCACTGTGAAGAGCACGTCCAGCAGGGTACAATGTGGTCACCGTGTTCCCTGAGGGACCCGGCAGGTCCGCACTGACCGCTCTTCTCCAGCCAGCCTCTGCCGTAGCGTGTTCTCTAAATGTCCTGGCCTTGGCTCTTGAAAGTTCTGCGCTTGTTTTTTGTTGTTGTTATTGTCGCTGCTTCCCTTCCCTCGGTCTTACCCCTGCTTATTGAATCTCAAGTCCCCTTCTTAACTGACTCACACCGACCGCGCGGTGCCCGCCGGCTTCTACAATGAATGGCAGACCGTTTCTGTGCCGGGTCCCCTTGCCGGCAATCCTAGAACTTTCCCTCAGTTCTCTGCTGCAAATGGACGTCAGCCACATTTGAAGCAAATCAAATATGATACGTCTGATTTCATTTTTACCCAATCTATGGACTCCCAGAAGAAAGAAAAAATAATAACAAAGAGAATTGAAATGAACACACAGACCCTTCTGGAATCCATCGAGACGTGTCCACAATGCGAGGTTTCAGGCACACGCTGACGGAGGATCTGCTGGACAGCCCTCCCCGACCCCAGGTCCTTACCAGCCTGTGTCACTGCTGCTGAGTTTTCTTGACTTCAGGTAGACCCGGATTTAAGCAAGACTCTTTAGCCGGGCGCGGTGGCTCAAGCCTGTAATCCCAGCACTTTGGGAGGCCGAGGCAGGTGGATCACGAGGTCAAGAGATGGAGACCATCCTGGTCAACATGGTGAAACCCCGTCTCTACTAAAAATACAAAAAATTAGCTGGGCATGGTGGTGCGTGCCTGTAATCCCAGCTACTCAGGAGGCTGAGGCAGGAGAATTGCCTGAACCCAGGAGGCGGAGGTTGCGGTGAGCCGAGATCGCGCCATTGCACTCCAGCCTGGGTAACAAGAGCGAAACTCCGTCTCAAAACAAACAAACAAACAAACAAACAAAAAAGACTCTTTAATATTTGAGAGCCTAGAGCTTCCAATTAAAATATGTTAAAACTATTTTGCAGTGTTACAAGTTATAAAGTAATCAGACGAGCTATACGACTCAAAAAACGTAAATTTAATGAATGTAGGAGTGTGTCCATCATCTCCTGTTTACCCGACAAAGCCAATGCTTGGCTGTTTTAAAACGTTTCTGAATTCCTGCATTCTCCATGTTCCTGTGTTCTACAGTGTTGATACAGTTTGGCTCCTCATCGATTCCTTAAAAGCCGTAAGCACTTGAGTTCATCTGGTCTGCCGACCTCACGGGCCTCAGGGACACAGTGCTCTCTTTTGACTTCGCGTGCCGTGGGGGCGCTGGGAGCACAGCCTCAGCAACGTTCCCTTCTGTAGGTTTGTTCTCTAGAGGGCAAGGGCGCGGTGTGTTCCATCGTTTCTCCAGGCCTGGGTGGGCGGTGGTAAGAGCTGGCGACAGATGGGCAAGCAACGCGACGTTCCCTTTGCGCTCTCCTTCAAAGCTGTTTGCCAGGAACACAGCAGGAACTTTCAGTTTGTATTGGTTAAGCTCCAAGGACCAGTCCGTGTTTGGGAAATTGAAGTGAGCATGGGCAGGGCACAGAAAACGGTCCCTTTCTCACCAGGTCCCAAGCTGTCCGTCTCCACACCTAGGCGACAGAGAGCCAGAGGTGGGATCTTCGAGGAGGGGTTAATGCTGGCAATAAAATGCAGACGCGCCGGGCGCGGTGGCTCACGCCTGTCATCCCAGCACTTTGGGAGGCCGAGGCGGCTGGATCACGAGGTCAAGAGATCGAGACCATCCTGGTCCACATGGTGAAACCTCGTCTCTACTAAAAATACTAAAAATTAGCTGGGCATGGTGGCGCGTGCCTGTAATCCCAGCTACTCAGGAGGCTGAGGCAGGAGAATTGCCTGAACCCAGGAGGCGGAGGTTGCGGTGAGCCGAGATCGCGCCATTGCACTCCAGCCTGGGTAACGAGCGTGAAACTCCGTCTCAGGAAAAAAAAAATGCAGACCCACGTGACGCGAGACGCACGCGCAGACCCACGTGACGTGAAACACATGCAGACCTAATGCAGACCTACCTGATGTGAAACGCACACGCGGACCCACGTGATGCAAAACGCACACGCGGACCCACGTGATGCGAAACACACGTGCAGACCCACGTGATGCGAAACCACACGCGGACCCACGTGATGTGAAACGCACGTGCAGACCCACGTGATGCGAAACCACACCGGACCCACGTGATGCGAAACGCACGTGCAGAGTCGTTTCCTAATCTCAAGTTCTGGATTCACAGGCCAGTTCCACTTGGAAGTAAAACTCCGAAATGTTACCAGATAGGTTTCTGAACCTCTTCCTTCGCTTGTGTAATGGGGGTATCGGGCCTGCTTATTTCAGTAGGTGACTATGAGAATCAAATGAGAGAGTGGACATGGGCCGATAGTAGTTGCTGACGGCGATACGCTGTTTCTATAGATTGTTGCTCACTGAATCTTGTATTTGTTTTAATGCAGCTCTAGACTTACAAGTTGCAGTTGGTTCTTTTTCCACTTGTGCAACAAGTGGCATGTGGCACTGGGGTTCTGACCGTCAGCACGGATCCTTGGACGCACTCGGTTTTGTAAAAGATGGCTCAATCTCTCACTTGTCTGTCTGTCCAACAGCATACCCTGTAAAAAGTGTGTGGTCGTCGGTAACGGCGGAGTTTTGAAGAATAAGACATTGGGAGAGAAAATCGACTCCTACGACGTCATCATAAGGTAAATAGATTTTCTATTTGCTACCCTAGAATTGTTTCAACAGAATATGGTTTCTTACCTTAATACAGCTGTGTTTTGAAAGGAAGGGGAGCTGTTTCCATTTGTTTATTTTATTGCACAACCTTCTCTCTTGGTTGTTGGCGAGCGTTAGGCCTAGTTTTCAGGTTACTCACTGAGCAAGTATTTGTCAAGTCTCCTTAGCCGGCACACTTGTAGCCACAGGGGAGATAGCAGTGGATAAGAACAATGTTTGTGTTCTCTGTGGAGGAAAGAAAACGAGTAATTAAATATATAAAAATAATAAATATCAGACATAATTTAAAAAGGACGTAATGGAGAATCTTTGAGTGGCTCCTTTGAATGACCACTTAGAGAAAGAGACATCTAAGCAGGGCCCAGGTGACCGCGCAGTGACAGCCACATGAAGATGATGGCAGAGCAATCGAGGCAGAAAGGATGTCTGCTGCGAGGTCTCAGGGGGAGGTGATCCTGAATTTGAGAGGAGCAGCGAAAACAAACAAACAAACAAAACCAGTGAGGCTGGGAAGTAGCAGACGGAGGGAGAATGGTGGGAGGGAGAATGGTGCAATGGGAAGCCGAAGTGGTGAGCCAAGATCAGGCTGCAGAGGACTTGAAAGCCAGGATTAGAAACTTGGACTTTAGCCGGGTGCGGTGGCTCAAGCCTGTAATCCCAGCACTTTGGGAGGCCGAGGCGGGTGGATCACGAGGTCGAGAGATCGAGACCATCCTGGTCAACATGGTGAAACCCCGTCTCTACTAAAAATACAAAAAACTAGCTGGGCGTGGTGGCGCGTGCCTGTAATCCCAGCTACTCAGGAGGCTGAGGCAGGAGAATCGCCTGAACCCAGGAGGCGGAGGTTGCGGTGAGCCGAGATCGCGCCATTGCACTCCAGCCTGGGCAACAAGAGCGAAACTCCGTCTCAAAAAAAAAAGAACTTGGACTTTAAGTATAGCAGGAAGCTCTTTTTTTTTTTTTTTTTTTTTTTTTTTTTTTTTTTTTTTTTGAGACGGAGTTTCGCTCTTGTTACCCAGGCTGGAGTGCAATGGCGCGATCTCGGCTCACCGCAACCTCCGCCTCCTGGGCTCAGGCAGTTCTCCTGCCTCAGCCTCCTGAGTAGCTGGGATTACAGGCACGCGCCACCATGCCCAGCTAGTTTTTTTTTTTTTGTATTTTTAGTAGAGACAGGGTTTCACCATGTTGACCAGGATGGTCTCGATCTCTCGACCTCGTGATCCACCCGCCTCGGCCTCCCAAAGTGCTGGGATTACAGGCTTGAGCCACCGCGCCCGGCAGCAGGAAGCTCTTTAAGGGTTTTAAGCAAGAGAGCAATGCAATCTGCTTATGTCTTTTAAATACGCTGGCTGTGGCATGGATAATGGAATGCGAGGGCCGGGTGGAAATGCAGAGACAATTAGGTCGCGGTATTCAGACGTCACATGATGATATCTGACAGGATTGTCATAGGAGAGAAGAGGTATGTGGACCGACTGCAGACGTGTTTTAGACATAGTTATCAGGATGTGTTGCTATTTTAGATGTGAAGAGTAACAGGAATAAAGACATCAAGGATACCTCCTGTTTTCAGCTTAGGAGATTGGCTAGAGAGTGGTATCATTTATTGCGTTGGAAAGACCGGTATAGGAGCCAGTCTATAGAGGAAAACCAAGATTTATTTCTTTCTTTTTTTTTTTTTTCTTTTTTTGAGACGGAGTTTCCCTCTTGTTACCCAGGCTGGAGTGCAATGGCGCGATCTCGGCTCACCGCAACCTCCGCCTCCTGGGTTCAGGCGATTCTCCTGCCTCAGCCTCCTGAGTAGCTGGGATTACAGCCACGCGCCACCATGCCCAGCTAATTTTTTGTATGTTTAGTAGAGACGGGGTTTCACCATGTTGACCAGGATGGTCTCGATCTCTTGACCTCGTGATCCACCCGCCTCGGCCTCCCAAAGGGCTGGGATTACAGGCTTGAGCCACCGCGCCCGGCCTGAAAACCAAGATTTCTATATAAACATGTTAGATTTGAGATGCTTATTAGATTTGCAGCGGGTATGTCCACAGGCAGTGGGATAAACAGGTTAAAATCTTGATGGCATGTGGCCCCTAAGCTGTATTTAAACCAGGGACTGGGTGAGATTTCCCAAGGAGAGACTGAAAGAGAGAAGGTGAAGACTGAGCCTTGGAGCACTCAACATGCAGAGGTTGAGCAAAGAAAGGAGGATGCATAGCCATAAGGTAAGAAGAGAATCAGGAGAAAGTGATCACAGAAGCCAAGAGAGCAAAGCGTTTTCAGGACAGAAGGAGCAACCCGCTGTGTCCCAGTGCTGAGAGGTCGTGCAAGATAAGGACCGGGGCGTGACCGTTGGACTGGTGACCTGAAGCTCGTTGACATTCTTGATAAGAGCAGGCTTAGAGGCCTGATGTGGCAAGAAGCCCGGCTGCAGCAGGCTGAAGACGGAATGCAGAGAGTGTACACCTGGATATACACAGGAATGTGCAGAGAAACCAATGTCGTCTAAAACTTTTGCTTCAAAGAGGAGTTGAGAAATGAGATGGCAGTTAGAGATGGTTATGCAATCGGGAGGTTTTTTTCGTTTGCTTTTCTTTTGAAAAGATGGGAGGCGCTACGGCATATTGGTACACTGGTAGAAATGAGAAAGCTGGGTGTGGTAAAAGAGAGGGGAGGGGGTCCAGAACGCAAGTGTGGTTAATCTTTTGTAATGGAAAGAGAGCCAGGATTGTGGTCACAGCTACCAAGAGTCCCTCTGATGTAGTGATGGGAAAATAAGGATCTTTCTATTCTTTTAGGGAGAGGTTGAGATAAGGTCCTCATCTGGGATAAGTGTGTGTGCGTGTTAGGAGTAGCTGTGAATCGTTTAAAGACTGGCAAGGTTAGCAGACTGAGGCAGCGTTGAGGGTTTCATGGGGTTATAAGCCACCTGGCGTTTCTGCATGGGGAGGTCACATTATTTTCTGTTTACTATTCATTTTGAGGAAGCTGTGATAATTTACCTACAAAACAATTTTGAAACAATCACAGGTGTCTCTACCCGTAATTGTCTAAATCTGATAATTTAGATCCACAGGAAGCCCTTACAGGAAAATGCCATCGGTATGACATTTTGAAAGTCATCTCAAGTGTTATTACATAGAGTCAGTGGCAAAGGGTAAAACAGTATTTATCCTCCTGGGGGACACTGTTTTGCAAACAACGCATTTCTTTTTCTTAGCATGCCTTCATAATGTGTGCATAAATAGTGCATGTCTAACCCTGGCTTTGAGCCTACACAAATCCAAAAGTAGATTCGTTGTGGCCCTTTAGTTCACTCTAGCAATAGACACTCATTTGGTTGTGCTTGAATATAATGTAGCAGTTTTATATTGTTAAGTTTATTTCAGAGTACAACAATTTGGACGGGCCTTTAAACCAACTCACGTGTGTGCCTGTCAGCCGCACACATCCTGTGCTCCCTGCCCGTGTGGCCTTGAGCAAGTCATTTTCTCTCCAGGCGTTTGTCCTCCAAGGTCTCTTTCAGTTCCGGTGTCCTGGGCCTCTGTGTTCCCATTTCTTTTATTTAGGCTTCAGTTCCCCTGGAGGTAAGATTGAATCATCATTGGCTCCACAGTTAATTTTCAAATACGGATGAACATTTCTGCCTTCGATCAAGCAGCTATTGCATGAAAAGGAATGATGTCCGGCCGGGCGCGGTGGCTCAAGCCTGTAATCCCAGCACTTTGGGAGGCCGAGGCGGGTGGATCACGAGGTCGAGAGATCGAGACCATCCCGGTCAACATAGTGAAACCCCGTCTCTACTAAAAATACAAAAAATTAGCTGGGCGTGGTGGCGCGTGCCTGTAATCCCAGCTACTCAGGAGGCTGAGGCAGGAGAATTGCCTGAACCCAGGAGGCGGAGGTTGCGGTGAGCCGAGATCGCGCCATTGCACTCCAGCCTGGGTAACAAGAGCGAAACTCCGTCTCATAAAAAAAAAAAAAAAAGAAAAGGAATGATGTCCTTGGCCATGATGTGCGAAAGGTTGATCTATGGCTTTGCGGTTTCAGAGCACAGGATAAAAGGCTGATGTTTACCCAACTCTGAAACTTCTGAGAACTGTGATGACAGTGGCACATTCTGCACGTGATCTACATATCTTGTGTGTTTTACTGCCCACAGAATGAATAACGGTCCCGTTTTAGGACATGAAGAAGAAGTTGGGAGAAGGACAACCTTCCGACTTTTTTATCCAGAATCTGTTTTTTCAGATCCCATTCACAATGACCCTAATACGACAGCAATTCTCACAGCTTTTAAGCCACATGATTTGAGGTGGCTGTTGGAATTGTTGATGGGTAACAAAATAGTAAGTAGGCAAAATTGTTTTTCCGTGAGATTACCTTTAGTATGTTTTTTTCTCTAAAAAAAGAAGCCACATTGTTCTACTTTCTGTATTCTTACTTTATTTCAGAACACTAATGGTTTTTGGAAGAAACCAGCCTTAAACCTGATCTATAAACCTTATCAAATCAGAATATTAGATCCTTTCATTATCAGGACAGCGGCTTATGAACTGCTTCATTTTCCAAAAGTGTTTCCGAAAAATCAGGTATGTATCTATCTCTGCGTGGCTTCACACTGCCGAGATAGGATAGAGGGTCTGGGGACTCTCACTGTCAGAACCACAGCTCAGGAGATGGTTTCTGAGGGCCATCTCTGAGTTCGTAAAAGTAGTTATCTGTGGTTATCATCTTTATGATTTTCAATTACATTTCAAGGAAATATACTTTGAAATTGGTTTTTTTCCCCCTGCCCTTAAGGGCCTTCCTGGGGTCTCTTTGTGCATGCTGAAACAATTCACCTTTCATAACCGTCTTCAGTGCCCTGCAGTGAGGAGAGTCTGACTGGGTGGGCTGATGGGCAGGCTTGGGCTCAGAGTAGCTGGCCTGGCTTCAGAACGAGTGCATGGCTTTCCAGGCTAAAGAGAACTGTCAGTAAAGTAGTCCAGAAACATTTCTGTGGTCAGAGGAAATGTTGGCATGAATTTCTCAAGAAACAGTAGTTAGAACAGTATTGAAACTCCAAAATGAAATCTCACCGACTTTCACTCCTGTGTGCCTACTTTCCCTAGAAAACCATACTCTAGACCCATATAGGGGCAGAGAGGTTTTTCACTGGAAGCCTGAGTAACTGTCTAATATGATACCTTAGTTGAAATGAGCTTTTCCCCCCTTTTTAAAGTAGGAAAATTCCAAAGAGATAAATATACCTCATGTATTTTTACATGTATTTTCATGGTTATATATAGCATGATAAAAATTGTGAATAAGACATTCAAAAGTGTTAGATTCTAAAAATAAATTAGTGTTACACAGTGAAAATCAAGTAACTTATAAAGGAATATTAAAAAATCAAAAAGCAAGTCACCATTATTTTCTCTTCCCTCTATAACCCGTGTTACCTCCCAAGCTTTTGTCTTTTATGTGCTTCCAGACTATTTGCTATGTTTCCAGACACATACACATGCCCTTGTTTATTCAATATAATTATGATTATACTACAGACATTGTTCTGCTCTTTTATTTTCCTTTATTTAACTCTTCTCCTATTTATAAACATTCAACTGTATCCAGCATTTTCTTCTCTTTAAATAATGTAGCAGTACATGTGATCGTAGGAGTTTTCTGCCCATGTGTCGGATTTCTGTAGGATAGACTCCTGAGGATGGAATGCTCAAGTCAAAAAGCATCCGTGCTTTAAATTTAAACGTGACTTCCTAGTAATTCTGAGGGTAAAGGACAGCTTCCGAATGTGAGTTTTGTGACTTTTCAGCTCCCATATTCCTAAGTGAAGTATGATCAGGTGTATCTCGGTTCTTCATTTTAGGTAATGTCTTTAATTCTAAAAGCACAGAAACACCCCGTGCATGCTTAGTGATGACATTAGAACTAGCCGTAGCTACGTTAAAGTTCCAGTAGGACATGGTGTCCCAGAAACCAAATGAAAACATTGCTGTGTTTCAAGGGAAGTCAGCCATGTCCAATGCTGTCCAGAGGCTGAACATAAATAGTAAACCCTGGTTTTAGAAATGTGGCGGTCATACTGGTGGTGATACATATTGACAACGAGAAAGAAGGAAAACGCTTGCTTGAATTGGGTTGACGAGAATCTGGAACTCATCTGAGCAAGCAGCAACAAACCTTTAGTGGACTTTTTGCTAGAATGAGGATCAGAGAAATGAAGCAATAGTTGGAAGATGATACAGGATCGAGGAAGTGTGTTTTGATCATTTCTGGTCTGTGTGTCTGTGGAAGGGAATGATTCAGCAGAAATATTCATGATGGGGGAGAAAGTAGGTAAGTACAGAAGAAAAACTGTTGAGATACGGGATAAAATATGCACCAGCGAAGGGTTGCTGAAGTGACATCTCATCCATTAGAAGAAGAATCAACCCGGCCGGGCGCGGTGGCTCAAGCCTGTAATCCCAGCACTTTGGGAGGCCGAGGCGGGTGGATCACGAGGTCAAGAGATCGAGACCATCCTGGTCAACATGGTGAAACCCCGTCTCTACTAAAAATACTAAAAATTAGCTGGGCATGGTGGCACGTGCCTGTAATCCCAGCTACTCAGGAGGCTGAGGCAGGAGAATTGCTTGAACCCAGGAGGCGGAGGTTGCGGTGAGCCGAGATCACGCCATTGCACTCCAGCCTGGGTAACGAGAGCGACACTCTGTCTCAAAAAAAAAAAAAAAAAAAAGAAGAAGAATCAACACTGTAAATAGGAGTGAAGAGACAGTTAAGATGGTAGATTTGGAGGTGGGAAGATGATGTCACTCTCTTTTGACTGCTTTTGTTTCCTTAAAAAAAAAAATAAAGATGAAGTAGGCGAATTAGGAAGGAGACTATAGCCGTTGAGGATACAAAGTTACAGCTTCTCCTCTTGGAATTTACTGTTATTCCGAATTCAGTATTATTCAAAGTTATACATTCTTCTCATGGAATTAGTAGGAATGGACATTTACTAGTCAAATGTAACTGGATTGCTGGGCATACGTAATGCCTATTTGAGAGTTGGGTCATAAACTCAGCATTCACCCAGGTAAGCCCGTTTCTCTCTTGCCCTCTTCCGTTGCTGGGGAGTGGGGACAGGGTGACCACAGTGCTTATCCCTCTTCTAAGAGTTTGTCAGGTGATAATAGAGGTTCTGGGGGTGATGGGTGCAGAAGAGCTGGTCTAAATAAAGGACGGTTATGTAGACGGATGCAGGACTCTGAAGTTGTGAAGAACGTTAGTAGAAGACATGAAAAGGGGTCAGGAGAAAGGAAAAGTCATGGGATGAATGATGCGGAATGACTCCTAGGTTACCGTGGTACGCAGCGTAAGGAAAGGCTTATGCTGAAGGCAGTTGAGGCTTTCCGAAGAGTTTGTGTCCCGGTACTGATTTGATTTAATTGTGCCTCTTTGATGTTTTTCTTTTCCTCAAAATCCTAGGAAGTCATATGTAATTTCAATGAGGACTCCAAGAAACAATTAATTGAAAGTGTTGTGTAAAAAGCTTAATATGTGTCTTATTTTTCTCTTGGAAGGCCATCTCAGTGAGAAGTAAAATTTCTGAAAGACCCTCTTGTCAAATATCTGTCACGCTGGTTTTCAAGATATGTGTCAGATGAGAAAAGAGGATGCTTGGTTTTTCTTTCTAAAAAAAAAAAAATAATGGTGCAGTTGAGATTGTCATATTGCTATGTATGCATTTGGAATATTTATTTTCTAGTCAGATACTATTACAGTTTGTCATTGAAGTGCTTGATTAGGCTTTCCCTAGAGTTAGTTTAAATGGAGAGTATAAAATACAGCTATTCTAAGGTGAATTTATATGAAGTCTTTTATCATGATTTCATCCGTTCACGAATTAAGCTGTCCTCACATTTCTTTTTTTTTTTTTTTTTTTTTTTGAGACGGAGTTTCGCTCTTGTAACCCAGGCTGGAGTGCAATGGCGCGATCTCGGCTCACCGCAACCTCCGCCTCCTGGGTTCAGGCAATTCTCCTGCCTCAGCCTCCTGAGTAGCTGGGATTACAGGCACGTGCCACCATGCCCAGCTAATGTTTTGTATTTTTAGTAGAGACGGGGTTTCACCATGTTGACCAGGATGGTCTCGATCTCTCGACCTCGTGATCCACCCGCCTTGGCCTCCCAAAGTGCTGGGATTACAGGCTTGAGCCACCGCGCCCGGCTGTCCTCACATTTCATACATGTGTTCAAAATTCCCAGGCTTTGCTTTTGCCATAAGGAGCCTGGCTCATCAGGTTTTTTAATTTTTCTAAACAATGCAGCAACATTTTTTTAAGCGTCACAGTATTCCTTCATTTGACAGGTGTCCTCTGGGATAATACTGCAGCTATACTGTAATTTAGACTTCCTAGGATTTCAGTCACAGTTTATTTTTATATATTTTTTGGAGTTAAGGTATCCGTGTATACTCTTTGGGGGCTTCAGCCTTACAATGAGAGTTTACTTCTCTCATTATTAAACATTTAGAAATCCCTGTTTTATATGATTCGGCCAGCCAAATATGCTTTGGAAACAAGTAGCCCCTTTTACTTAAAATTTGTTTTCCATTCCCTCCCCCAGAAACCCAAACACCCAACAACAGGAATTATTGCCATCACACTGGCATTTTACATATGCCATGAAGTTCACCTAGCTGGTTTTAAATACAACTTTTCTGACCTCAAGAGTCCTTTGCACTACTATGGGAACGCCACCATGTCTTTGATGAGTAAGGTAATGTACCGTATTTAAGGTAATATGTATATGCTTGGGACTCATCTTGGGGGAATGGAAAGCCCGTATTTTCCTCTTCTCACACTCATTTCACTGAGGGACCAGTTTTTTTTTTTGAGACGGAGTTTCGCTCTTGTTACCCAGGCTGGAGTGCAATGGCGCGATCTCGGCTCACCGCAACCTCCGCCTCCTGGGTTCAGGCAATTCTCCTGCCTCAGTCTCCCGAGTAGCCGGGATTACAGGCACGCGCCACCACGCCCAGCTAATTTTTTGTATTTTTAGTAGAGACGGGGTTTCGCCTTGTTGACCAGGATGGTCTCGATCTCTTGACCTCGTGATCCACCCGCCTTGGCCTCCCAAAGTGCTGGGATTACAGGCGTGAGCCACCGCGCCCTGCAGGGACCAGGTTTTGAGGGGTTGAGGGCTTGATGGGGTTTACAGGGGTACAGACGGCTACAACTAGAACTCGGGTCCAGGATCATTTTACTACAGCATCAAATCCCAATTTACGGGCCTCATGGTTATTGGCAAGTGTCATCAACCCCATGTAAGTACAGAATCTTATTTTAGATAGTCTGTCATATTTGCACAATGGAAATACAGCAACTGTTGTGTTTTCATATTTGCACAATGGAAATACAGCAACTGTTGTGTTTGTGAGATTACAGATTCACGTTGGATTGCTAGGCTTAATTATTCTCATGCACTCGTTTTTAAGTAGACAAGATGGACTAGAATATTTTAATCCTACAAGAGAATCTTCATGGTCAAAAAAGTTAAAAACCTTTATACTGGATCATAGTTCTCTTGAGTAGGGACTAATAGTGAGGTTTTTCGTTATTTTTAAACAATTTTTTTTTGAGAGTCTCACTGTCGCCCAGGCTGGAGTGCAGTGGCGCGATCTCAGCTCACTGTGACTTTTGCCCCTCCAGGTTCAAGCAATTCTCCTGCTTCAGCCTTCCGAGTAGCTGGGATTACAGCCAGCTGTCACCACGCCCAGCTAATTTTTGTTTTATTTTTGTAGAGATGGGTTTTTGCCATGTTGGCCAGTCTGGTCTCGAACTCCTAGCCTCATGTGATCTTCCCGCCTTAGCCTCCCAAAGTGCTGGGATTACAGGCATGAGCCACCGCACTGGGCTAAGGATTTGTATTTCACTTGACTAAGTGAAAGTTTCCTCGTTTTCTAATTTGAACTTAGATGCATAGTGCATCACAAGTGGTAGGATTAAAATGTTACCTGGATACTTTCAATATTGAAACACTACTCGATAGACAGTATAGGATATGTTTCATGAAATTGGTCCCCTTGAACCATCCCACTATATAAGCTGAGGAAGTGGTATATAAAGCAGGTTAGATTCCAGTATTGTCCTTTGTCCCCCACCTGCACCCTCTGTCCCCACCATGTAGGACAAGCACTTAAGTATTTTAAGAAGTAGGTGCCCCAACAGACTTTAGATGAGGCTCATTTCTCCTCAGCCCTGAACTTTCCTTTGTACTTGGTGGTATTTCAAGCGTCATCTAAAGAGAATATTAAAACAACTTCCTGAGGAAGAAAATTTGTCTATTCATGTATAGAACAGTAATTTTTTTAACGTATCTTAAACTGAACCAGGCATTGTAATAGTTTAGGCTGATTTTTTTTTTCTTTGAGTTATAGGGGCTTCTTTCATTAAAGTGAACAACTCGCAATTTTAGTGTCCAGATTCGTATTGTATCATGATTTAGTCTGCCAGGGTTTGATATGAAGGAGCCTTACATATGTGAGTTTAAGTGGAAAGGTGGCGGGGTGGGTGGGGGGAGCTGTAGGGAAAACTTTCGCACAAGAACCAGCAAGGAAAGAAATTTGAAAGGCTATCCAAAGTTAAAAGTACACGCAACTTGTTACTTAACATTCCAGTTCTTTATTCAGAATTTTTTAGATATAAAAAGTTGCTGCTCCTAATACTTTGAGATTGGGAAAGATGGTAATTGTATTTTTCTTCCTTAGAACGCATATCACAATGTGACTGCAGAGCAGCTCTTTTTGAAGGACATTATAGAAAAAAACCTTGTAATCAACTTGACTCAAGATTGACTCTACAGACTCAGAAGACGAAGCTAACAGTGTTAGTTTTATTTTTGTACTGCAATTTTTAGTTTAATATGTTGGATGCACTCGTCAAATAATTATGTATAAATTGTCTGTTGCTGCCTGGTGATTCATAACCACCAGCCTAATTTCTGTGAATACCATATATTTAACTTATGAAAACCAAGAAATGTTTAGTGACGATATCAGGAAAATGTTTTGATTGCATTGTGTTTTTAAAAGAAGCTAGTTTTCTGAGGTGTTTTTACACATCTTTTTATAGTTACTTCATCTTGGACTTTTGAAGGGGTATGACTTCCTACTGAGGATTTAGTTTACCACAACAATTTTGACTTTAAGAAGACATTTTCAGAAGTATATTTGGCTACTGTAAACATGGCTGGTGGGAAATCACATGATTGTGGCTTGATGTGACACACTTAAACCACTTGGCTATGGAAATGTAAGTTCGTACTGGTTTAATTAAGCTCTCCCCGACAACCCCCGGAATTAAGTGAACCGTGATTGTGATGAGTAATTTGGTACAATGAAGGTGGTGTTAAGTTTAATAGGCTAAGCACAAAGTTCTGGTTAAGTATAACTAAAGAATAGTATTACTACAGTCTGATGGCTTTGTATTATTTTAAAGACATACAGTTTAACTTTATACAATGAAGCTAAGCTAGACAAACTCAAGAAGGAAAGAAAAATCTTGAACTTTTTTTTTTTTTGGTCTGGTTTATTCATTAAATTTTGAAGGCTTTCCACTTGGAAGTAAATTAGGAAACGTAGTCAAAAGACCAAGTAAACACTTGAGAAGTCAAGCCGAGTCTGGGCGTAGTGGCTCCCACCTGAGATCCTAGCACTTTGGGGAGCCATGGAAGGTGGTCAGATTGCCTGAACAGGAGATCAAGACCAGCCTGGCCCAGCATGGTGAAACCTCTTCTCTACTAAAATATAAAAAATTAGCTGGCCGTGGTGGTGCACGCTGTAGTCCCAGCTACTCAGGAGGCTGAGGCATGACAATCGCTTGAGCCAGACAGGCAGAGAGGTTGCAGTGGGCCGAGATCGCGCCACTGCACTCCTCCAGCCTGTGACAGAGACTGTCTTAAGGGAAAAAAAAAAAATCTCATTTTCCCATGATTAAAGCTAATCTTCAGATGTAAAGCTTGCCTGGCTACCTAGGGTGCACTGGAGACTGTGATCCAATGCAAGCCAGTCAGTCCTACAAATGTGTTAAGCTAGTCTCCTTAAATGTTACTACATACAACCAAAGGCCATTTGGAGGTGGAGCAATGAGAGGTGAAGGGACAGAGCTTGTAAGGATGAAACTACAAGTTGTCTGAGAATGTTACGAGCTGAAGAAAGAATGACTGTCTTTTGAACAATAAATATCATTGGGAAACACTGGAAAACCATGGTTTGATTACTGACAACCAACCTACCTCTCTAAAGAATGTGTATAAAGGGTGAAATACATTAGACTGGGCTCAGAAACAGGAATGCAGTACTTAGGATGAAGGGAAGAGAAGTCGTTGATTTAATCCAGGTCAGACATGCATTATAGACTATGTTCTAGTAATACCAGCATATGTTTAGCATGTGTTTGCAGAGTGCCACAGTGTTGATTCTTCTTAGAACTTTGCAAAAGCCAGAACTGGGATCACATGTCATCAGCGTGACGACCCTCATACCACACACCCACAGGCTGCAGTGTGGCTGCAGTTGATACAAGGTCAATCAGGCTTCCAAAAGGACGGTGCTTTGGGTACCCAAGGACATGACAAAGATGGGAACGACAGACACTGAGGGCCGGGCAGGGGGGTGGGGGGGAGGGCAACGGCTGCAAAACTATGTATTGGGTACGATGCTCACAACCGGGATGATGGGATCCTTCATACCCCAAACCTCAGCGTCACACAATACACCCATGTAACAAACCTGCATACGTGCATACGTGCCATCTGAAATAAAAAAAGTTGAAATTACTGGGGAAAAAAAAAAAAGATAGTGCTGGTCATAGAAAAAGTCAGAGTAAACAACCAGGAGTGGCATTTTCAATTGTTGCTGGAAACACAGTATTGCTATAAATGAGTGATGTTAAAATTGAGCAATCTGGCATCTTTTACAGTATAGGGAAGAGCTACAAACCTCAAAGTTGTTTTATTTAAACCAAATAATCTGAGCAAGACATATATACAATTTATTAAAAACAAATGAACACATGAAAATTTCACTATTTTACAATCTAAATTCTAGCAACATATACAGACACTGAGTGACTACAGTACATGCCGAGGTAAGAAAAGTACATTCTGGGAGAAAGTCACTGACGCTTAAACCATTTTTATTTCCAGCATGTATGTCAACATGTTTCCACTTTTCCCAGTGCCACACACAGAAAATAGTCACAAGTTGGATACATGAGAACTGGTGCCACAGGTGACTTTAAACGCCTTTCAATAACCATCCAACAACTCTTAGATTTTGCAGTTTAGGAACTTCAAGTTCAGAACCAAAAAGCAGAGAATCGTTGCATCTGACATGATGTTTCTACAGACTTCTTGCTCTCTAGGTGACAGTGCGGAGCCAGGGCAAAGGTGTCTAAGCTTTGTCACTTTGCACAGCTTTGTGGCCACATTCATATTTAGATAAGCTCAGATTCTGCTCCCCTCTCCTGGAAAGGGGGTGGGAGAGGCAAGTGTGTATGTGTTGTCATAATTACTGCATTAATTCTTCACTCAAACCATTTACATCAGCAAATAAACCCACTGTTCAATGCAAAGTGCAAATAGTGAAACATGAACTTAAATAAACTGGACTAGACCCAGCACATACAACAGGATCTGTTTAGATCTACAGCATTTAATAAGTATAAATCAGAATTCACAATATCTTAAACTGCGCTGTTTCTGAAGATCAACTAACAGCCAAGTCAGGATAATTTTATGAAACCTGTAATGGCCACATTTGTTGTGTCTCTGATGTATTTCTATAATTGTATTAACAAGAACAAATTTGATCCAATACACCAGTGACTTTGAGTCTTAGACGCTGGAAGCAAAAGATAACAATTCAAGGGAAATTTTGTCAAATATGGTTACTTTCACATTTTCAGTTGTTACTTGATTGTCTCCAAAGCTGTATATATCAGACATATAAATGTGGTAAAAAACAATTAGAAAACCTCTACTATAAAAACAAACGAATAAAGTACCAAGCAGAAAAACCATCTGAATCAGGCTCAGCTCTTCATCTGGAAAGTAAAGTTTATATAAAAGTAGTAAAAACTAGATGTTTTATAAAAATTATTGGTAGTCCAAAGCAGTACGAATCGAGTCTTAAAATATGCATAATTTCAGAAAACACCTGCTTCTCTTAAAAAAAAACAAAACACTGAACAACGAAACTCCAGGAAAACAATCAGGTATACACAATTACACGACAATAGCAAACTTCTTTGGGAAAATGAAATAGTTATCAAAAACATTATCTCTCTTAAAGCTTCAAACAGGTATACTACTTGAGGGAAAGTAATATTCTCTGTGTACTAAGCATGAATTAAAAAATCACGCGTGCTTTACACATCGCATGTATGTTTTAATAAAAGCCTGACATCTATGTCTTTTGCTTCAAACATTTTTAAACAAATTATGTATTGATTTTTCAATGAATGAAATTGTGCCTCACAGTCTGGAGAAGAAACAGCCAACGAAAATAAGGCCGACAAAACCATACTACAAAAGGGCAGGAAGTCTGCAGAAATAAACGGTTCTCCTTCTGAAGCAATGTTTTAGAATACTGACATAATTCATGGAAGCAGGACAACTAATACTGTTCATCTATTCAAATTCAGTGAATTCTGGCAACAACACAGTCTGGTGGCTCAGGCCAACGGAAGTGACAGAACTTTGTGGAGAAGGACTGTTGAACATTAAGTCGACAAACGAGGGTTTACGGAAGGGGAATGTCAAATTTATGTATTTTTATCGTGTGGTAAGCTGCGCAGGTCGCCCTGCCATTGTTGGCTGATAAAATTATAGATGATTTCTGTTTTGCTGTGTCTAAAACTAGCTGTGGGCAGGTATGAACAAGTGGTGACATGGAAGCTGCCAGGAGGTATCAAACGCAAGGCAATGAATGTTCACTTGCTAGGAGGTGATAATGTCTGCTCCCTAGGTGACACACAGGATGGCTCACACCTCTTACTACACAAAGGGCATGATCATGCAGTCCTGAAAAACACACATCAGGTTTATATTTTGTGTAACAGTTTATGGAAAATTAAAAATTTTATTGACTAAAAATAATAAAATACCTTGAGACTCAAGAAAAATGTGTATGTTTGTGTGTGAACGTATAAACCAAAAAGGACAAATTCTAGTCACTTTCTAACAAGGTAATTTGTATTACTTCTGAGTGAGTAATTTTCCCTTTCACTGTGACAAATAGAAATGGGTCATGTTTACAGCACTCCCTTCGAAGCCCTCGATTTTTCATAACTCTCCTCGGAAAAATCCCACTGCAAATAAAGTTGGGGGTGGGAGAACAAGCTCCTTAAAAGCTTTCCGATTGTAAAGCTGTTCCTGTTTCCACATGGGGAGCGTACTTAAAGACATGAAAGGATCTGAATTCATGTGACTGGTAAGGCAAGCATCACTCAAAGAAATACTCAAACATTTTACAAACACAAGAATGGGGCAAGCCACCAAGGGCCTCAAGTGGAACGCCCACGGATGACAGCAGGTCATAGACCGGGAAGCATTAAAGCTCTAAAGAGTGTCGCAAAGTGAAAAAGCAATGCCCTGGCTCCTTAGAGTGTCCTTAAAGTCAGAGTGTCCCAGCTGCAGATGGTAAGATGAGTAAGCGAATATGGCTGCAATCAAAGCAATGCTTGTATCACTGACTATTTAAAAAAAACATATCCCAGAAAGGAATACAGGAATAGAAGAGGAAATCATGGTAGTACCCATCTTTCACAAACAGTCTAGAATTTCAAGCCATTAGATATTTCAAGAACAGTACCGTGCGTTATTGCCAGTCAGGCTGAGAGAGCCATCTCGAGTTCATTAATGTACCTGCAGCATTGGTAATAAATACTCTCAGTGATTTTTAATTTCTTTGAAGTGCATTATAGGGAGCTTTTTCTGTATTAAAAATAGTGTTCTACAGTAGTATCAAACAAGATGTTTGAAATTTTAGAGGCAAGCAGTAACTGTGCCACCATTAACACCTTTAAAGCAAGATGGCAAGATTAGTAGTTTCCTGTACCTCAGTCACCACATCTTCCCCAACCACTTCAGTGACAGATATGTAATACATTCTATATATTACTACCACTAATAACTAAAAAAAAGAAAAGGCCATGTGCTTTGAAACGATGCTTTGTAAAAAGCAGCATCACCTTCAAAGGATTTCTTTCGAAACACCGCATTCTCCATTCCTTCCTGCTCCTGATACTTCCTGTGCGCTCTGCGGCACCTGGTACACCAATTCATCTGGGGCAGCTGGACCTGGCTTCCCACCTTTTGGGGTATCATACTGGGCCTGGGCTGAGGAGCAGCTGTCAGTCCTGGAGAGAAGTGTATTGTAAGTTCCCACTAGCGGGGGAGGCTGGTTCCCCGTAGCTTTGAAAGTGGATGTGGAGGGCAGACCAGCTGAAGCGGTGGGGTGCCCGGACATGTCCATGACGATTGGGGTTGCATACTCGGGCCCCGTGATTGGGAGTGGTTCTGCATAGGCATGATCAACTTCCTGCACTGGGGAGCTGTAAGGATCTGGGTCTGCATAGCCTGCTGCTTTGCCTTCTTCCGGCTTAAAGGTAGATCTCTGATGAAGTGTACCGACAATTCCGCCTACGAGTGGCTGAGCATATTCTGGGCATCACAAACGACAGAAAAGTCATTTTACTAGTAAAGGGACTCCATAATTAAGGGTGGCAGCTACAGCACCAAAAACGAACATTCTTTAGGGTACTTTTGTTGCCATCAACACTTATCTGCAAGAACTTCAAAAATCAAAAAGAAACTGTCTAGTGTCTCATAGTAATGATATACCAGAAAGTCTCATTTATGTAATGTTGCATAAAGAGTTTTCACACGTTGTTTAGATTTACAGACAATATTTCTTTACTGAATACTTTCTTTCTGAACTTTTTTCAGAGTATCTTATTGGAAAAGAAACATTCAATTACTGGAATAAGTATTAATCCTGAAAAATAATTTCAGAGGGTTTTTTTTCAAATATGAGGAAATATTTAAAATAAATATGTACTAGGTTAACAGGATAAATACTGTAAAGCTTTCTCTGTCTTTCCTGTTCTCTTAACATCTCGCTTCTCCCCACAAACCGAACAAGCAAAGCCTCAGTTAACATATATAATGCTCAGAGACTTTAGAAATGAATGCCCCAACTTTATAGACAGAATATCCAAGATACGGAAATGACTCTCTGAAGGTCACCTTAAAAAAAAAAAAGTGGTTCTGCCTTTAGGAAACAATTCATTTCTTACACATGACAGGAATCAATGATATTGTAAATCCCAAAGCACTTTATAGGAAGCCTAAGCAGTCTCTCCCTCTACCTGATACCAGAAGGCGGCACCATAGTTACCTGCAGAGTCAGCTTGCAGCACTGTGGTGACCTCTCTTGAACTCAGGTGATTCACTTCGCTACTGCTATAGCGAACTGGGGTTTCCTCATGGTCCACTGCTTTTGCAGGAAGAAACTGCTTCATTCCTTTCCACCACCCTTCATTGTGACGGTAAGCCAAAGAGACCATTAAATAGAAACCAGGATCTCAAATGGTACTATCAAGAGAGAAATCCTGTTGCATTTAAGCCATTTCTGTAACAAGTATCTCCACAAACTTGCCTGTATAGTCAAACTTTTTTGCTGGGAGAGACTATCCAGCACCAAGCAGGCAAACCTCTGTTAGTACAGTGCAGCCAGATACAGTCTCTATTTTAGGGGTGATTTGAATTAAGCTTTCCCCCCAAAAAATACTCTCCAAGATCTGCCCCAGGGCACTAGCAGCCCCTTTCTACCCCGGCCATAGCAGTGAACTCTCCTGGCTCCTTAGAGCGGATCCAGTAGTGAGACTGGAAAGTGGGAGACTGGTAGAGGGGCCTTTGGGGTGACTTGCAGCAATTCAGAAGATGACAAGTCATCACGGGAGACCTCCCAGTTCCTAAACTGCTGGACTGCACTTGCTGAATAACCATGGCAGAGGACGCACACACATTGTGTCCTTGAGACCACAGTCCTCTGTTTCAGACTCAGTGTTCACATGGCCACACAGGAACCTGGTCTCCTCAAGGGAAACAGATTCACAGGACAAACTACACAAGTTTTCCAGAAGAAAACGAACAGAGGCTGTAATGAGAAATTTGTACTTTTCATCGCTCTGTTTATGAACTAGAAGAGATTTTGCAGAAGGGTAAAAATGGTGAGAACTGAAGAGTACGTAATGCCATCAGTAATGCTAACAGTGTCGGGGAGTTCACGTGAGCCTCAGGAGTGACTTTCTTTTTTCACTACTGCCCCCTGGAGGGGAGGGGCTTCCCTCTGATGGAAATAAGATGCAGACCACGTGAGTTACCTGCCCGGTCCCAGTAAGGTAAGTCATAGGTGCCTTCCGTTTTTTTCTTTCTGGAAAAATACAGAAAAGATGGTAGGAAATACAGTAAATTCACTGGTAAGAAATTTATGAAACTGCAGAATAAACACCAAAGTTAATAATTAGTCTAGAGTACACGCCTCTATTTGCTGATCTACTTAGGGGAGTCTTCTATTTCATGTGACTTTCAAAGGTGCTACTGCTGAGGTTTATAAATCCTGGACTCTCAATAAACAACTATCTTTTGCCATAGCTACCTTGTTACCTACCTATTACCCACTCAAAAGGCATAAAAGAAATTTAAAAATGCCATGTCTGTAGATGAAAAGACTGAATCAAATCCAAGAATCCGCTCTGCTGTGTGGGTTATTATAGGTAAATTATTTTAAGTCTGTTTTGGTTTCAAATGCAGATAATCACAAATCAACTGAGTCACAAAATTCACAGATCTAAAAAACCCATCTTCTTCTGGTTTTCTATTCTGCGTTTTTTTTCCTCCAACTTTTTGCTCTTCTTCTACAGTCTTTTTCCCCAGCGAAGTTTAAAGGGTCTCATACCCTTAATTGCATAGATCTGATTCCTCCAACCATTCCATGATAAGTCAATGTCACTAACAGTGACAAGTGGATAGGGAAGAGAACGTGGGTCTCCAAGTCTGGGAGGCACTGAAATTCTCTGCAGGAAGCAAGAGCCACGTGTGCAACAAAGAAGGTTCTCGACAGTTCACCTCTCAGAATTGTAACGTGTCTTCCCCAGGAAAAATCTCTCTCCCCTCCATGGAGCACTACTATTTACCAAGTGGCTTTTAGAAAGAAACACCAAGCAAATGTAATCACATTTTCTGATTCAAGGGTATAAATCTAATTCAATTCAATTTAGAGCTTTGCAAGCTAAGGAGAAAGCAGATATTATTCGAGTCTACAGGTGAGGACAGGACGGCCATGTGACCTGCTCAAGATCACAAATGTGGTTTTTCATAAAAAGCCCAAGCTATGTGTGTGTGTGTTTTTTTTTTTAACCAGGAAACATTCTCCGGTATAAGACTATATTGCTGATATTAAATACATCCTCATTTTAAAGCATGGCTATTACTTATTTCATTATTTCAAAGTACAGAATAATATAAAAATTGTGGAAAAGATAGTAAGTGTTCAAGATGTTAATGAAAAACTTGAATGAAACAATAAAATATACTGATTAAACACCTTTCTCCCTGAAAATGCTCTCTTCATCCTTTGATTTAGAAATAAAAAAATAAATCATCTTTCTAAATAGATGCCCTGTATGGCTAGGACAACAAATTTATGGCATCAATATTAGCCACAGGTTGTGATATAAAGGATTTGATATACTTAATCTCAAGCGACAAAGCTTCAGGTCATTCATTACCTATAAAGTGCGCAGAAGGAGCTCTGAATAAGCTGCTGCTGATTTTATTATCATTCTCCTCCTCCCGATTTTCCACAGCACATTAATGGCATCTGCTTCTTTACTCCGTGTCATAGAGCCACTCAGTAATTTCAACTACATTCCTAATGGTCACTTCAATTCTCCAGCTCAGCTCTTGTGTCCTTAACAGCAGGTGTATGGTCAAACTACCTCAGGAGTCTGGATGTCCACAGGGTCCTCTCAGCAGGATCCCAAACTGCCCTCAGGCACTGACTCCCGCCTGCTCAACAGCGGCACTCCCCAGTCCTCACCCTCACACCCCATGCTTCAGTAACGTCGAGTTAAACTTGATTTATTGTGTGTTCAGAGCAGCGGTCGGTAAGAGCACGATCTCTGAAGCCGGGTCCAAAACTCCCTCTGCTATATATTAGCTGAGTGACCTCAGAAAAATTATTTATGTTGTGTCTCATTTTCCCCTTCGGTAAAATGAGGCTTATTATAGTGCCTGCTTCATAGACCGTTTTGAGGATTAAATGAATGAATACGTGTATTTAGAATAATCAGGTAGAACAGTGACTTACATTAGCATTCAGTTTTCCATAAAAATCAGCTACCGCTGCTGCCAGCCTCATCGCCGCTATCACCGTCGCCGCCGGACCCCTGAAGCGTGCCGCGCTCTCCCCTCTTTGGAATTCCCTAAGGCCCTTCCTCCCCTGCTGTTCTCAGACTAGCTGCTGTGTCTCTGCTCAGGAAGCCGCGATCTGCTAGCTTTCTCCCATGGCGTATATTCTACGGCTGGTGTTATCGCTGCGAGTTTTTCTGCACTGCATCTGTCACTAATCTGTAAGCTCTGGGGTTCATCATTGGATTCCCCAGCACATGGCACAATACTTGGCACAGGGTAAGAGCCAAGTATTCAAGTATTTGTGGAATGACTGAACATAAGAAGTCGTTCTCATTCTCCACCGAACCTGTTCCTCCTGCTGTGTCATCGCAGCTCACGACACCTCTACCGGTCTGACTGCACAAGCCAGAAGCCTCAGATTCCTCTTATGTCACTTCTTCCTCAGCAGACACCAGTCACGCGTCCTGTCAATGCCGCCGGGAAGCGCCGCCCTCCATCTCCCCTCCCTTTCCTGAAATCGGTGCGCTGCGTGCCTGCCCCACCTCACGGGTGTCCTCACTCATCTTGGGAAGTCTTTCCACCGCTCTCCTCTTCAGTCCACCCTTCAAAGCTGCGGCCATCCCTGTACAGTCCTCTGACAATATCCCCTCTTTGCTTAACACTCAGTGACTTTCCATCTGTAGAACAAAATCTAAATTCTTTCTTCCAGAAAAGCCTTTCCTGATCCAGGCCCACACTGCATCTCTGGGGTTGCTTTTCAGGACTCTCCCATGCCAAGCCCACAGGAGATGCTCACGATTCTGCCTGCATTCCACTGTCACTGTGCCTTCCCTCAAACAATTCCCTCACACTGGGCCATTCTCTACTGCTATGGCCTGAGTATATGCATCGCTCCGAAACCTGTATGTTGAAGTCCTAACCCCCAAAGTGATGGTATGAGGCAGTGGGGCTTTTGGTAAGTGATTAGGTCCTGAAGGCAGAGTCCTCATGAATGGGATTAGTGCCCGTATAGGAGAGGCCTGAGACAGCTTGTTTGCCCCCTGCACCGTGTGAGGACTAGGCAAGAAGGCGCTGCTGGTGAATGAGGCAGAAGACAGGCCCTCACCAGTCCCTGCATCTGCAGTGTTTTGATCTTGGACTTCTCCTCAGCCTCCAAAGTGTGAGAAATCAATTCTATTATTTCTAAGTTACTCAGGCGATGGTATTTTCTTACAGCAGCCCAAACAAAGACATCTACCTTCCTCTACCCAGCCAACTACAATTCTGTTAAGGCAAGGCAGGCCAAACTTGGAATTTCCCAAAGAAAAAGTACAGTTAATCCTCATGGTTCCCCTCAGTATAACATAAATAACTCATCAGACCACATGATATAGTTCCTTATTTTGTTAGTCAACCCCGCTAAACACTCTGGAGAAAGGGATTGCGTCTCATTCTTTTAAGTAAATATAACTATCATGCGTCAGAAATTGTTCCTATTAATGTACATATCCCAGGGTATAATCAGAACTTGATAGAAAAAAGGTACTTGGTAACTGACTGTGGAACTGAACTGATTTTTAATGGGAATAAAGGAGAAGCATGACATTTTTATTCTAATAACTACCTTAACGCTCACACTCAAACAGCAACGCTGTGTGTAGTTCATCTTCTATATTTAGCTTCTGCTTCACATTCGGCAGTTTCGGACTCAGGTGAACTGGGTATGTACTCACCTGTTTCTCCAGTGCCAAGCACACACCAATACGAGAATGAGAGTCGTGAGGACCATGACCAGCACAGGGACAAGGACTGCAGCCAGGGCTACATCTGAAGCGACAAAGACAAAAACCGTATCAGCAACAACGGCAGAAATCATTAGGGAAAATGAACCACATCGTCTTTCCACATTTTTCTACCTCACAAAAATACCATAAACATTGTCTGTCAAGACTGGGCATGCGGTGGTAACTGCAGGGGCTTTGCAGATAGTGTATTATGTGCCTGCCTGACATCAATGGTTTCCTAACACAGGAGCTTGTTACACTGTTTATTCCATCTGTGGATAATGTGAAATTTTCCTCAGTTTTAAAATCACTAAAATAAAATAAAATTGAAACGCAAATGAAAAACTGGGAAAATATATTTTCTGCATATGTGAAGTTACTGTAAATAATTATTTTATTGTACGGTATTACAAGTCAAATCCAAACATTTAAGAGAAAAGTCAGTAGAGATTAACTAGCAATACATTAACAAATACAAGTGACCATTAAACATGTTAGCCTCACTAGTAATCAAAGAAATATAAGTTGAACCAACAAAAAAACATGAAAGCAAGAACAAAATACTGCTTTTGCTAATCAAAGTGGCAAATATTTAAAACAACAATGAATTGATGAAGAGGCTACCAGGAAACATGTATCTTTTAATGGAACTATAAACTGACACTATCTTACTGATTGGCATTTTTGGGCAGTATGTACAAATATCTATTGGCAATTTCATGCCTAGAATTTATTCTCAGAAACTTATAAAAAGACATTTAAAGATGCCTCCTTAAAGATGTTCTCCGTTTCTGTATAAGAGTGAAAAACTGGAAATAATCCAAATGCATCAACGTGAGAGGGAATAAATCATGGTATCCTCTTTACAAGAGAATATAATCCAGCACTTGAAGTGAGGCTACATCATAATGGCAAAACATCTATATGTATGAGAAGGTAACCATGTCGGTGTTAAGAAGGTCAGTTGGAAATGTGTGAACGAACAGGTCAGAAGCCAACACAGTGCTGGAACTGGGAGAGATTTAGGGATCATGTAATCCCCTAATCTCACTCCAGAGATAAGGAATTCTGAGCTCAGAGACAGAAAATGATCTGCCTAAGGCCATCTGGGATATTAGTTCCTTTCTCCCTCAACCCCCTGCGTGCCAGGAAGACGACAATAGCAGCACCTGCTGATATTTACTGCGGGCTCAGAGCCGGACGCTGCGATGAGTCTAACGTGCAGTATCTTTTTTATTCCTTACAACAACTGTATCCAAAAGAGAGGAAGAGGCTGAAGATACAGGAGAGGGAGAAGATAATCAGTGACACTGGGCCCCTGGGAGGTGGATGATGGGAACGAGGGCACAGGTGATGTGATCAGCCTTTGGCAACATTAAAAAGCTCCCTTTTCACTGCAGTGAACAGAGGATACAGATAGGTTTGTAGGCTCTACTTTCTGTCAAGTTTGAGGTAACTGAGAGTGGGTGAAGATATCTGGGTGAAGGGTTTGAAAATACGGGAATATTTAAAATAGCTACAGCTGAGAACAGACAGAACAGCGCACCACGGCCTTTCACAAGGACTGCCAGCTGGTGCCCCACTGAGGGAGGGCCTGGAAAGTACACAGGGACAAATCTGACCATGACATAATCTCTTCCACGAAATCACTCTCAGCCTGGCTGTAAAAATGGGGAAGTGCGTAAACAGAAATAATGACCTAGACTAGAAAACACTCAGAATTCAGAACGGTAAATGTGTGTTTTCCCTAAGACTGGTGAGGCTAGAGAGGATAATCAAGTTTAGATGGATGCTGTATGATTTAATCAGAGGCTTTAAAACATCTTAGTTTCAAAAAATAAGTTTATACACAACCATCCCAAGGAAAAAAGGACAGAGGTCTTTGAGAAGACCAGCTCATTCTGTTATTTTGTTTGTTTGTTTTTTGCAGGGAGCATACAGGGATCCTAATTCTGGAAGAAAATTATTTAAGGACTCTTAGTCTTGAGCTTCTGTAATCAGATTTTAGGATGAGCAACACTTTTCAGTGACTGATCCCCAACCAGGCATGTGGCCTGGGATTCTGCCTAAGTACATGCCCTCTGACTACTTGTGAGCAGCTGTGTAAGATGCTGAGATCTCCTGCCTCTGAGAACTCCTGATTCTGTCTAGAGTCAGAAAATACCTCAGAAGATGGAAAAGAAACCGACATGGGGAATGTCAGAGAAGGTTACCTGAATCCCGGCAAACTCTGAAAAAATGAGAATGACTGAAGTTCTATGTGGCACAAATTACTCTGCATGAATTGCCTTCTCTCTTTGAACTTTCCTGAAAACAAATAAGCTTTTTTTCTAACAACCCCGATACTCAGTCTACTACCACACTGACACTTTTTAAAATTCAACTGAAATTTTGTTTTTCAACAACGAATAAAACTACTACCTTTCATGTATTTTAACTACTATGTTTTACATATTTTGAGACTTTATTCATCACTTATAACAAAAGTTCAAAGTAAATTCTAATAAATTTGTATTTATACTCTTAAAAAATATAACTGCAAACATTTAAAAAGAGAGACCAAAGGTTTTTTTTCTGAGACGGAGTTTCGCTCTTGTTACCCAGGCTGGAGTGCAATGGCGCGATCTCGGCTCACCGCAACCTCCGCCTCCTGGGTTCAGGCAATTCTCCTGCCTCAGCCTCCTGAGTAGCTGGGATTACAGGCACGCACCACCACGCCCAGCTAATTTTTTGTATTTGACCAGGATGGTCTCGATCTCTTGACCTTGTGATCCACCCGTCTCGGCCTCCCAAAGTGCTGGGATTACAGGCATGAGCCACCGTGCCCGGCAAAGTTTTTTTTTTTTAATGAACATGCTAACTCAGAGTATTTTTTAAAAAGTATTAGTTTCCACTAAAAGTTCTGTTTTTGTTTTCCCCCTTTTGCCATCAAGTTCCCTACCCATCAAATTAAGATACGACCAGAGGAAACAAGTTTGTCTCCTGCTATGATTTCAGTTACTTCTAGATAATGTTGTATTTCTAAGCCTGAGAGTCCACATGGTCAGCCGTAAGGAAAAATAAATCTCAAGAGGAGGCCTGCAACACAGTGGCCTTCTCTAAATATTTAAAGAGCAATTCTACATGGCAGCAGAAACTAGAACTTAGATCAGTGTGGTCTTTTCCTAAGAAATCAAATCAATTCTCTTTTTTTTGGCTATGCTTAAAAACTATAGTTGGAAGAAACTGAGGGTTTAAGCTAAAAATGCCCGTGAAAACTTTAGTTAAAAACAAAACAATACTATGTCCTAGGTGTTCATTTTCCTGTGTGCATACCTTTGGTTACATTTGGAGTTACGGTAGTATTTCTGATATCAGGAGTGGCAGTTGTCTGTTCTGTCTGTGCAGGAAATTCATTGCTACTGCGAGGTTGTAGCGGTTGAGTAAATTTTGGGGCACGACCTTTAAAAAAGTTTTAAAAGCTCTTTACTTTTTAATCTGTACCAACTTGATTAACGTAAACTTATTTGATAATGCTTTCAAATATATTTTTGGAAAGCTGCATCATAAATCCAAGGAATAGCAAATTCTCACATTAAAAGCAGGCATACCTTTGGCTATTTTTGGAGGGGTCGTAGTGTTTTTGAGGTCATTGCTGTTCCGAGGAGGTGGAGGTTGAGTAAGTTTTGGAGGACGACCTTCAAAAATGGTTTAGAGAAGTTTAAATAGTTTGTTTTAAAAAAAATCATAGTTAAAAATAGTAATGTTAAATATCTTCAATATTTCCTAAAATATTTAATGCTGCAGAATACTTTTAAATCTCAGAGACAAATATATTGGAAGGATAAATATTATACTCCACAATAAATGCACAAATATGCCAGGATTTCTCAGTTTTTAAATAATTAAATCATCTGAAAATTATCTGAGGAAGGAGAATAATGGGGTGGAAAGTGATGTGGAATGCTAAAGCAATAAAGGAGTTATCACATTTTGAAACAGTACTTATTCAATTCGTTTAAATTATGTATGGAGGGCCAGTGATGTGTCAGGCACTGCGGTAGTCTTTGGGGATACAACAATAAATAGCATATTAAAATGTGTAACATTGAGATAAATTATTCTCACTTTAAATGTACGGTTACACTCTTCCATGCTTATGTTAAACAACTATTACGGTACATGAAACCTGATTTAAAATTATTAGAATTGAGACTAAATTTGGAAAGTGATCTCATTTACATTATCTCATGAATGATGCTCTTTCTTCTTCCACTTACAACTTTGGAAACCATTCTGATAAGTCACTTTTTAATACAGTAACCATTTATTTTTCAAAAATCCCTTTAAGAAAATACTGTAATTAGAATTTAATCAGAAAAACATCCTCATTATTACTTTCTCTGAGAACAGCAAAAGCATTGTAAATAACCAAACCAGTGAAAATAATGTATCTTAAACACAGTTTCTTTACCTTTAGGAATAAACTGGCATCCGAGCAGCTCCATTTTCATGGCAATTTTCTGCTGCCATTGGGTAGGATTCACTCTAATAAAACGTGCAATAATTGGTGGCAAAAAGTTATTACGCACATCCTGGTGATAATCTTTGTTTCCTTGAAATATCTTTAAAAGAACAACAACAAAAATTGGTACTTTAAATCAACAGAGGGCAGGGCTAAATTTCTCCACTTAAACCTGTTTTTGCACTTTGTTCTAGGCATTAAATGACCTCTGTAAAGCATGACAATAAGGATTACTTTTTTTTTTCTTTTGAGACGGAGTTTCGCTCTTGTTACTCAGGCTGGAGTGCAATGGCGCGATCTCGGCTCACCGCAACCTCCGCCTCCTGGGTTCAGGCAATTCTCCTGCCTCAGCCTCCTGAGTAGCTGGGATTACAGGCACGCACCACCATGCCCAGCTAATGTTTTGTATTTTTAGTAGAGACGTTCACCATGTTGACCAGGATGGTCTCGATCTCTCGACCTCGTGATCCACCCGCCTCAGCCTCCCACAGTGCTGGGATTACAGGCTTGAGCCACCGCGCCCGGCTAATAAGGATTAATTTTTAAGAAAATAAATCATAATATGGAAAACTATTAAGACGCTGCACTTTTTACCAAAAGTTTACAAAGGAAAAATATTTAATATGGAAATGATTTTAAGATGATTTAAGAACTTAATAAGAGGGTTAACTTGGCATTTGGGTAAAAGGTTTCAAATCCAGTGAGACAATTTATCCTATTAATAAATTAGTAACTCTAGTCCTGTGGAATCACCAACTTTTTAAATACATTAATTTTGGTTTTTAAAGTAAAACAACTCATCATGCTAGGTGTTAGAGGAAATATTCCGCTTGTGTACTTTTCATCATTTTCTCTCACAGACTGAAGGTGAACATGTACTATCGAACGTGTAACGGATATATACCCCCACCTACTGGATGAACTGCGTAAAGGCAGTTCTCATAATCCCAGTTTTTGTTCCTTGCTGCTATTTAAACCAGAAGTGACTTTGAAATGCTATTTTATGCTTAAATTATTAATTTTTTTTTAGAGACACTGTCATCCAGGGATGGTACTGGCAGGATCAAAGCGCACCACAACCTCGAACTCCTGGGCTCAAGCAATCCTCCTGCCTCAGCCTCCTGAGTAGCTAGGACCACAGAGGCGCATGCCAATGTGTACGGTATGTATGTATGTATTTATGTATGCATGTATACACTCATTATTTAGAGAAGGGGTCTCACTTTGTCACTCAGGCTGTAGTGCAGTGTTGTGATCTTGGCTCACTGCAACCTCCTCCTCCCGGGTTCGAGTGATTCTCCTGCCTCAGCCTCCTGAGTAGCTGGGACTACAGGTGTGCATTAACATGCCCAGCTAATTTTTGTATTTTTAGTAGACACAGGGTTTCACCACGTTGACCTCAAAGGATCCGTCTGCCTCAGCCTCCCAAAGTGCTGGGATTATAGGAGTGAGCCACCGTACCCTGTGACTTTTCATTTTTATAGAAAGAGGTCTTGCTATGTTGCTCAGGCAGGTCTTGAACTCCAGTCCTCAAGCAACCCTCATGCCTGAACCTCCCCCAAAGTCCTGGAATTACAGGTGTGAGCCACCACTCCTGGCCTAATACTAATTTAATGATTTTCACTAAATAGCAACAAATGCATTATAAAAATAATCCCTAGGTAAAATTATGTGTTTAGGCGAGTCTCACTCCCTTAACTACTTTAAGCAAATACTGATGGTATCTTACATTGGACCAGCACTTAATTAGTTATAAAACATTTTAATGTAACTAACTCAGACAACCCTATGAAATAGGCAGGGCACAGGAATCTGTAAGTGGATGGCACAGCTGGCTAGTCAGTGACAGGGCAGCAACTTGACTCTGGGTCTTCTGACTTAAGCATAGCCTCCGGTAAGCTTTTAAAAAGAGCCTTGGTTGTTCTCTAGGTCTGATCAACTAGGTAGTTCCTAAAGACCATTAATAAGCATATATTGCCTAAAATCAAAGTGATTTTTTTTTAATCAGCTAAGGTGAGATTAAGTAAATGATTAACTTCTTAAGTTATTTCCAAGTATTGTGGCTCTATTTCTTCTTGGCGAATTCAGTCGGCATTAGACTATAAACCTCAAAATATGTTAATATCCTTTATTTCCTAAAAAGTTTGTTTTGAAGTTATGATAATTTCCATACTAGTGAGCTCCCGTGATTTCCTCAGATATTACTCTGAAATAAAATGAAAGGCAATTATTTTCATTCTTTCTGTATTAGTGGAACAGGGATGATAACAAATCATTAAACATAAAAACTATCTTTAAGATCTTCCTCTATATTGTTGTCTTGATTTTATAAAAACTGAGTAAAAAAGATTTGCTATAGTCAATCTATGAGCATTTACTGAGAATCCTCCTGTGCAGAGAAGTATGTGAGGTGTCACAAAGAGAAAATGGATATGAATGCTACAGTTCCAACTTCAAGAAACTTAAAATTTTATTGGATGTTACCACACATAAATATGGTGTAATGTTAGAAAGTGACATATGAAAACAAGTTGCATGTATATTAATCCCATTTTCTGAAAACAAAATCAAATGCAGCCTCTGTGTGCTCATGCACATGTGCAAGCTTAGAAAAGGGGTAAAATGAAAACATCAATTACCTTTGAGTCTGAGGTGAAGAGGGAGCAGATGGACTTATGTGAGTGGGAAAAGTCTGTCAATTCATACAATTCAATGTGAGGACTTGCACTTCTGACCATGAGAGTAATGGACTAGACATACTGTTCAATCCTATACATATAGGAGAAACTGGATAATATATACGAAACAATGGTTCTCAGACTCCGGACAACAGGCTGCCTCGGGCAACAATCACTAAGAGAAGGAAAGCAATCAAGGTGGGCGCTGCTACTTACTGCCCCAGTACTGTCCACAGAGAGTTTCTAGGCCACCGTGCGGGGAGACGGATCCTTAACAGAGCCCGCTGGTCTCACTGAGTTGTGGAGACACAGCTGACAGTGGGAGGCCAACAAGGTAGCTAGAATTTGCAGGGCAAGAGTTTAGGAGAGAAAAGAGCTATAAAGATAGAGAGTGAGAGAGAGAGACTTCTAGGATATATAAGGAGTTTTCCCTTAAATCTTCAGCTGCATGTAAAGAAATGACCTAGGGCCAGTAAAAGAAATAGTGGAAGGAGTCAGCAGGACAAGTGTCAGAGCTCCAGAAGTCTGGGAATTCCTTACACTACCAACAAGTAGAACAGAGAAACCTCAGAATACATGGGACGCTGCAGTGAGTACTTAGAACGGTATTGTCTCCGTGGTGCAGAAAAATGAAGAACTCATGGCTGTCCAGGTCCTGCCTAACAAAAGTTTAAAAGCGAGCCTTGAAAATATGTTTCCAGTAGCTTCACTGCATCCCAGAATAAAGCTCAAATATTTAAGGGAATAGCAATAACAAAAAACCCCAGCACCAATGTAACACAATGTCTGGCATCCAATAAAAAAAAGTCAGGCAGGGAAAATATGATTTCTAACATCAGTCAATATAAAAAGACCCATATATGACACAGGATAACGTTAGCAGATAAGGGTATTAAAAGAGCTATTATACATGCTCCATGTTCCAAAAACAGAGAAAAGCATGAGCATGTAAAGAAGACACATCAGAGACATTTTAAAACCCCAAACTGAACATCTAGAGGTAAAAAATATAGTATCAGAGATACAAATACACTCAGAGATACAAATACACTGGATGGGATTATCAGATTAGACATTGCAGAAGAATAGATTATGAACTTGAAGACAAAACAACAGAAAATTTCCAAACTAAAATACAAAAAGACTAAAAAAAAAAAAAAAAGAATGGAGCATTAGTGAATGGTGAGATACCTTCAAAGGTCATAATATTCATGAAATTAGAATTGGGAAGAGAAATATTTGAAGACAAATGAACTACACTTTTCTAAATATGACGTAAATCATGACCTACAGATGTTTTTAAATTATTAAAAAACAAAAACAAAAACAAAAAAAAACACTGGTCATCCTAGAATTCTATACTTAGGGAAATTACCTTTCAAAAATGAAAGCAAAAAACAATCTTTTTCAGAAATATCGTTTAATGTTGTTAGAAGTTTTTATAAGTATGAACAATTCTTAAAAATTCAAAAATTTAGCGATATTCCGCAAGTGTAATAAATGTGATGCAAATAAGAATGGATGTAGTAGGAATCAAGAGCAGTCCGGTTTAGGGGCATGAAGCAGAAGATGTGTATGGAGACGGTATTGTTATTTCTTTAACAGGGAAAGACTCACCAAAGATGAAGTTCATGTGACGCCAAGGAGAAGAAAAAAAAGAGGTCGTGAATAAAAGCAGAGGAGTTAAGACGCACAGGAAAGATAATGAGCCCCTCAAGATTTGTGAATAGAGAGATGACAGAGGTAGTCATTGAAGACTTTTTAGTAAATCATACATGATAAAAATATATAGTCAAAACCAAACTCGGGAAAGTTTGAAAAAATGTCATCATTGTTTCAGTTTTTTTTTTTTTGAAACAGAGCCTCCCTCTGTGGCCCAGGCTGGACTGCAATGGAGTGATCTCACAGCTTACTACAGCTTCAGCCTCCTGCATTCAGGTGATTCTCCCACCTCGGCCCCCACAAGAAGCTGGGACTACAGGCACGCGCCACCATGCCTGGCTAATTTTCTGTAGTTTTAGTGCAGACAGGGCGGTGCCATGTTGCCCGGGCTGGTCTCAAACTCCTGAGCGCAAGCAATCCCAAAGTACTGGGATTACAGGAGTGAGCCACCATGCCCGGCCCATAGTTTCGATATTGATGGGAGGCATCTCTATCTTCCTTAGGGACAAGCACTCCATTTAAAGATCAAAGGGACGCACATCTGAATGAGATCCATCTCTGCCTGCTTCCAACTCTTTATCATTTCCTCTGGCTTATTCCAGCATCTTCGTAATTTGTTGCTAACTAAAACAAAGATTCCATAATTATAATTAGAGGCTAGAGCAATTCTTCATGTAAGAGAAAAAACGGAAGTTTTCCAAGATGAAAGTTGGTGAGATGATCTTCAAATTAATTTTCAAGTCTATAATATCCTATAATTTAATGCATGTTGGTTTTCAGCTCTTTTCTTTTTTTTTTAATCTCTTGCCTACAGAGTAGAAATTTGGGAACAAAGAGTCTCCAGCATCCAGTGAACTGAAAATAAAAGCTCCATAAAGATAAATTATGAGGTCCCTTTTATACTGTCTTAATAAAGTATCTAAACAATTCAATTAAAAATGCAGTGACAAAAATCAGAAACGTACTCACCGTTACAATCACCAAAAGGAACCTAGAACCACTGAGAATTTTCTAAAGTCAGAAGACTAAGGCCAATAACTAACGCTACCTAAAATAACCAGGAGAGGGCAGTATGAGACATTCTTAACTTCTACGTCTCTTTTACACAGAAGAGCTGTGTGTGTGACCTTTGGCAACCACCCATTTAAAAAATCTTTTTAAAAAATACCTTGGTGATCATTTTACCTTATCTTGCTCCACACCAGGCTCTCTGTACACAGTCCATTTCTGCCCATCATCACTGTACAGGACTCTGTAGGCAGACACATAGTAATTGTGCTCCACCATGGTGGATCCAGTAGTTATAATACCTGGGAAATTAAGAGTTGCTTTCATTAATGCACATGGTCTGATTCCCTAAGTTTGTTCAGCATCAAAGCATAAGCACTTGAGATACACAACTCAAACATTTCTAATTATGGCTCATTTCCATATCCAAGTGTATGTTTTCATCATAACAACTACTAAATCCTTGGCTTTATTCCCTTGGATAGGAAGAATTATGGGTGTGCATAAAGAACTATTCTATTTTGGTGTCTTGTGTTTATATCATCAGAACATAGATTCTGACTGCTGAGTAAGATGACTTCCTGCAAATGAACAGATTAAAGATAAATATTGATATTATTTACAGTACCAAAACAAAATAAATATTTTAACAAAATTATCTAAACCAATCCCAACCAATTATTCTGACCATTTGTTAAGTGCCCCTACATTAAATTTACACTCTGCACATCTGGAAAATTGGTTATCTCATCCCTTAAAACGGACTCCTTTAACACAGATTTCTCTTAATGACTATACGAGACTGTTAACTTTAGATGTCTCAGGACCACTTTACTGAAACACCTCCTTAAAAAAAAGTCTCATTACAATGGAGACAAAACGCTATTATGAATTAAACACTGTGATGGTTAATAGAGTGTCAACTTGATTGGATTGAAGGATGAAATGCACGGTTCCTGGGTGTGTCTGTGAGGGTGTTACTAGAGGAGATTATTAACATTAGAGTCCGTGGACTGGGAAAGGCAGGTCTACCTTCAATCCGGGTGGGCACCATCTCATCAGCCACCAACACGGCCACAATAAAAGCAGGGAGAAGAACATGAAAAGACTAAACTGGCCTAAGCCTCCCGGCCTACATCTATCTCCCATGCTGTATGCTTCCTGCCCGGGAACATCGACTCCAAGTTCTTAGCTTTGGGACTCTTGGACCTTCGACCATAGGCTGAAGGCTGGCACTGTCAGCTCCCCGGAGGTTTTGGCACTAGGACTGGCTTCCTTGCTCCTCGGCTTGCAGATGGCCTATTGTGGGCTTCACTTTGTGATCCTGCGAGTCAATACTCCTTAACAAACTCCCCTTTATATATACATCTATCCTATTAGCTCTGTCCCTTTAGAGAACCCTGACCAACACAAATAACAACTCCTTTTCTCTGCCATGTTTCATGAAATGTGTCTCCAAAAATATTAACATCAGTGAAGAAAACATAAAACCATATAATTAAAATTTTAGTGCCTTAACAGTTTTGCAAATAAATTCAGCATTATGAATTTCTCTAGAAAATTCTCTCTCTTAACCTGTTATTTTCTTTTCCTTATTCAGATCTATTTGTAACCACTGGTATTCATCAGTGGCAAAAGCAGCCCAAGGCGGTCCGGGTTTTCTCAGCCTGGCCTTTTCCGGTTTCCAACTGTTTTCCTGCCCTGTGTGGTCAGTCCACTCCAGCACAGATGATGCCGTTATCTGAGGATCTGCGATCACACCAGACTCCATCCCCAGTGTTCCATAACAACCTGAAACAAAAGACCAAATGTGGTTTCCAGGTGTAATTTCAAAATGTGTATCAGACCTGCTCACTGCAAACTTTCTATTCCATCTTTAATTGACTTACACTCTGCAATAATACCTGTAACAGAAACTTCAAAACGAGGCAAGTGTTTCTTGGGCGTATGTCTCCGTGTATCATTAGGAAACCTACAAACACGCACAGTTGCCAGCATGACTGAGTTGAATGGAGGCACATCATCTTCTCCCTGGGACACGCTTCCCGAATAACTGAGTAACTCACTCCTTCACCTCCTTCAGGTTGCTGGCTTACGTCACATTCTCCCTGAGGCCTTCCCTGACCCAACTTCAAACCGGTCCTCCTTTATGTTCCTGCATCTTTTATCATATTGTAAACAGTGTATCGTAAACAATAATTCATTCTTTGCTTATCATCAATCTCTCACTACTAGAAGGTAAGCTCCAGGAAGGCAGGACTTTGTTCACTTTACCTCTGCTTTATCACTCAAACCAGAGCAATGCCTGGCACAAAAAGAAGAGACTCAGTAAATATTGTCTGTTGAATGGATTGACTACTTCTTCAGGTAAGTTCAAAAGTAATCTTTCTTAAGGAACCTGCCTTGCTTACATGACCATCTCTATAAATACAAAGCTTCCGATTTAGTCTATTCATTATATTATCAGGTAACTATCTTACCTCACAGCGTTATTATCACAACTGAGGAAGTACAATAAATCAGCATTTGACGCAGTGCCTCACATACAGCAAACAAAATTAATTATATAAATAAAAAATTATAAAGTCCGGAAAGGCTTACCACTTGTCTTAAATGTAAAAAGACTTGCAGATAAGTGTCCCCTGAAAGAAAGAAGGGGTTTTTTAGGTGATACTCACATAACACATGACTGCCCACATTTAGTGAAACGTTTCCTTTTGATTTGGTTCCCCCCACCCATCAAAAGAACCAAGAAGACTGTATGGCTAAAAATTAGACAACTAATATTGTTCCTAGGGGAAAAAAGCCTCATTTCTAAGCAGGACAACTTCTGAAATCAGCATAAACAACTTTCTCTACCAATATCTAGCACCTAGATATGTGATTGTACAAATGTCTCTAGCCTTTAATATGTACTTACTTTATTTCTTTTTCACAACTTATTTACTCATTGTTTACTGCAAATCTCTCACTACTTTATTTCATGAGATAAATGGATTCTTAACACTTTTCTGTGGCAAATGCTTTTGATGAAAATACACTAAAAGGTCTAATTCTCAGAGAATGAGGCTCAAGTTTTTGGGGGTAAACAGAAGAAAAGTCGAGTACTAACAGAAGGATTCCCCCTTTTTTTTTTTTTAGAAGCAATTAACATGCCATGAACAAGTTTCAGTGTACACTCCTGCCTTTAGTCCAACATTCAAACAATTACAAGAGGATGGAACTTATCCCTGTTTTCTTTATTAAAGTATGAAAGAGAATTCACACACACTAAATCTTTCTAAAGGTATAACATAGTAAAGGAACGAAAGGGTCTGCATAAAACAATCTAGGAAAAAAAAAACCAAAGAAGAAAACGTAGTCGAGTCTATCCCAGGAATGGGCAAATGACTGTCCCTGCATGGCCTGTTTTGTAGGACCAGTGAGCTAAGAATAAAGAGCTGTAAATAAAACAAACAAACAAGCTGCCGAGACATGTGGCCTGTATAGCCTAAAATATTTATTAGCTGGATCTTTACAGAGTAAGTTTGCTGAATCCTGTTGTATACCAATCTGGATATGGATCATGCTCGTGTCTTCTGAATGAAAATGGGCCTGGGACCACTGAAGAAAAGCTGGCTTAGTGTTGGCTGAAAGACTGAGCATATCTAAGAGACAAGATTTACAAAAACAGATTGCTAACACTGCATTTCTATTTAATGTTTCAACTTCTCCTGCTTCTGACACCTACTCTATGTTTTGTAAAACAGTAGTATGTTGTAGATACCATGAAAATATATCCTTAAAACATTCTCTTAGAGAGGAAGATTCACAATAATGCTTACGATGTAATACTTTATGTCAAATTTAAATTTATATTTAAAGTATTTCAATTATCCTGAATTTCCATGTACTATAAGGAATACAGTAGTTAAACCTTTTGATCTGTAAAATCAATCAGGATTTGGCAACGAACTTCTAGACTATTAGAGACTTTTTTTTAACACTTAGAAAAGACAGAAGAAACACATCACTCTTCCAAATGACGTTTCTGGAGAGCAGCAAGCTAAGGAAGTGCAACACTGCCTATACTCTTCAAAACGTGCAGACACTGAGTACACGAATGTGACTGCTTTCTGCCTAAATGTTCTTTCAGGAATGCCATTACCAGTGATACTGCTGAGATCTAGCTAGTTCTTAGCCCACTGCTACTCAGAAAGCTTACCATATAGAGAGTGTATTTTTTAAATTGCATGTATACTTACACCACAGATGTGACGTTGTTAGCCAAAGAACTTTCATAATATGGGATACCTTTACTAATCACCACACTGATTTGGCCACCCCACATGTTTGACACTACTCCTGCATGCACACCGGCCATGCACAAGGGCGAGGACTTCAGGGGGGGAAAAAGAAAAGATGTGTTTTTAATTTTCTCTTAATGATTCATAACAAGACACTCTACTTCCTCGAGAAATCAGCTAATCTAGGCAGTTTCTTCATAAACATAGATTATTGGTACTGTAACACAACAGAGTTTTAGCAGACAAAAAAGAATAAAACACGTATTACTAAAAAATGTCTTAAAAAAGTAAAAGGTAAGGATATATAATTGACACACCTCTAACTACTCTGAAGTTCTTAAAAAAATAAAGTTATATCACAACTTTCAAATAAGTTTATATCTGGCTTACATCTCTATATCCATGAGGAATTGTTCCAGATATCTCAGCAAAAGGAAGCAGACAACCAGCTGGGCAGTACTTACTGAGAAATGAAAACAAACAAAAGGTTACCTAATGCTGTATTTTACAGGGAAGAACCATCTCCCCCAAACATCACATATGTATTTTTCAGTTCAAGGCGAATACCATAATCTCACTAACCCAAAAGAATCGTCACCCTGAAAGGACCACCAGTTCTTTTTTTTTTTTTTGACACAGAGTTTCACTCTTGTTGCCCAGGCTGGAGTGCAATGGTACCTTCCTGGCTCACTGCAACCTGTGCCTCCTGGGTTTCAGAGATTTTCCTGCCTCAGCCTCCCGAGTTGCTGGGATTGCAGGTGCATGCCACTACGCCTGGCTTATTTTTGTATTTTCGGTAGAGATGGGGTTTCACCATGTTGGCCAGGTTGGTCTCGAACTCCTGACCTCAGGTGATCCACCCGCCTTGGCCTCCCAAAGTGCTGGGATTTCAGGTGTGAACAACTATGCCCGGCCAGGACCACCAGTTCTAAAAAGCCCTTTCAGATTTTCTTCCATCCATACATATATGATATGTCTTTACTCACACATTTATAACAATTTCCTTCTTATTACACACTGCCTTGATTATTTTTTCATAACGAATGGTAGATGTGTTTCTACTGTAAGACCTATTCATCAAATTTAAGAGCTACATGATACTCTATTCTGTGGATCAATTTTACCAGCCCTCTATTGATCCAATTTAAGCTGCATTAAAAGAGATGCATTCATTCATGCAGCCGCCCATCCACCCAGCACATTTATTTGAATGTCTATTATGCTGTCTGTTGAGTGTTTGGTGGTAGTAGGTATTGGATTTACAAAAGTCAGACAAATACTGCCCCTGTTCTGAGTTTACATCCCAGTGGTAGAAGACATTAAACCAATACTTACGCAAACAATTGATTTTGATTCTGCTATGAAGAAAAGGCACATTGAAATAACCAGAAGAAATCTAACTTAATACAAGTAACACAGTAATTCAGTACGGTTAATGAATTGCCAGGTAGCACCCTACATGCTTCAGGTAATCCACATAAGGACTCTACGGAGGAGATGCTATTGTTGTCCTCATCTCAGGAAACAGGGAAAGTGAGAAACTGTTTGCACATTTCACACAGCTAGCAGGTGGCAAATGGGCCCTGGAGTCTGTGCTGCAATGCAGGACTCTGTATTGCCCCCAGTCAAGGAATGGGGGTAGCAGGGTGGGGCTCCTGGGAGTGAAGCCTCAGCAGTGAGCTAAGGGACGTCACCAGAACAAGTGGTGGGAAACGCACAGCAGTCAGACGGAAGAGCACGAGGCAGGACAGCCTGGTGTGTGTCTGGAAGTGAGGACAGCAGGGCAAGCAGGTGGCAGAGAGCAAAGCTCAGGTTCGTTAGCAAACAGACTGGACAGACGGGCAGGTAGTGTAGACGCTTGTAGACTATGGTGAGGAGTCTAGAATATATTTCTAAGTAAAAATAAGAAGCCGGTAAAGGATTTTGACAGCTTTCATACATAATCTGATGAGTATTTTTAAAAAAGATTATTCTATTTATTATTTATTTATTATTTTCTGGAAAGAAAAGAGATCGTGAGGAATCATGAGTGGAAGCTGGGACGCCATGAGGCGATAGTACAGCATCCCTGGAAAGGGATAATGGGAGCCTGAATTTGTGGGAGATCATGGAGCTGGAGAGCGGAGGCAGCGCAGCTGACTCTCTGGCTGGGCAGTCTACCATACACTGATGCCAGGGTTATCCCAGCTAACCAGGGTCCCCTTCCAATGCTGAAGAGGGCACCCTTCCCACACAGAATCATTCTTGAAGACAAAATTAAGGTTCTTGGGGAGTGGTAGTTTGGAAGAAGTTAGCAAGATGGGTTTTTTTGTTTTATTTTGTTTTTTTTTGCTGAGACAGAGTCTCTGTTGCCCAGGCTGGAGTGCAATGGCGCGATCTCGGCTCACTGCAACCTCCGTCTTCTGGGTTCAAGCAATTCTCCTGCCTCAGCCTCCTGAGTAGCTGGGATTACAGGCACGTGCCACCATGCCTGGCTAATTTTTGTATTTTTAGTCGAGATGAGGTTTTGCCAGGCTGGTCTCAATTCCTGACCTGATGATCCGCCTGCCCCAGCCTCCCAAAGTGCTGGGATCACAGGCGTGAGCCACCACATCCAGCCGCAAAATAGGTTTTCAAAGATGCGAACAATCTGCCAAACAGAGAGGAGGCAAGCGATTCATGGCGAAAGCTCTGCGAGCTCAGAGCAGCGCAAATGACTCAGAGTCATTTCAATACGGAGAACGTAAGAGAGAACGGCACGAGGACTGCTTGTGAAGGACCCACAAGACCAGGTTAAGGACACTGGACCGCTGTTCTTTTATCGTTACAAGGAGTTTCTCAAGATTTTTAAGGATGGTCAGATATGTATTTTGAAAACAACTTGGCAGCAGTGTGAATGGCAGAATAAAGCCAGCAAACAGAAACAGGAAATCGATTAGAAGTTGTCCAGGCAAGAGACAAAGGCATAAAGCAAAGAACAGGAGTAGAAATGGTACTTGAGTAAGAACGCTGGATAATTCTGTAACAGCCAAAACCATGCTCTTGCCATTTTCTGAAAAGAGATAAATACCTTTTCAACTTTTATTAGTTTTGCCAGATTTTGAAGAGCAACTAGTTCTACTTTCAAAGCACATTAAACGGGTACTTTCATTTTGCAGATCTAAATGCTATGATTAAAGCAAAATGTAAACATGCAACAAAATGGCTTTAAATAAGCTCTAATTTATTGATAGTCTCAGAACAATGATATGTATCACACAATATGCATTAACCCTAAGCACATACAGAATGACAATGAAGAAGTGAATGAAGAGTAACATTTAAGAAAAAAAATCACAAATATCGTCATACCTGAACTCAGGTTCCAAAAAATTGGATGCAGTGTCCAAACAAGTAATTAGATCTAGAAAAACAAAAATAAAAAACTGATTCCATTAATATACAAGATTACTCTTGCTGAAACCTCAAATGTCTCAGAATCCCAAACTGTAAGTACTGCTCTAAGTTTCAACAATCTCAATGGCACTGTCAAAATGGTACTAAAAACTTAACCAGTCTTTCTTAATCACAATTTCTTTCTGATACTAAGTTTCTTGATTTTTGGAGCAATGTCTCCTCAATACTATTTACTACCATATCATCTCAGGAAGTCATATACCATATATATGTATATGTATATTTATATATACAAATATATATTTAGAATATGCATAGATAAGTAAAATTTATAGCCTTAAAGTGGCTTCTGTAAAATACAGCTCCCCAAACACACACACACACACACACACACACACACACACACACACACACTCTGTCTCTTTCTCTCTCTCTTCCTGGTTTTTATGTAACTAAAAATGATCCTTTGCTGTTTATACACAAGAAAAACAATGATAAAAAGAAAAAAAGTGAGTTAATTTTATGGCTCTATTAATAACTGCTACTTAAAATCTGGTCCAGAGACAAAACCGTCAGCATCAGCATCTTCTGGGAACTTAGCAGAAATTCAAATTCTTGAACTCCATCCAGATTTACAGAATCTATGGGGGTGGGGCCCAAAAATCTGTCCTAACAAGTCCTCTTGGTAATTTCTTAAGCACACTGAAGCTGGAGTAGCATTGCTCTAAATAAACAAAACTTCTAAAATTTGACATTTTCTGCCTAGAAACCAATATATCAGAACAAGAGCTAATCTGTCTCTAATTAAGATCAGGTTCATAGCCTATGTAAAAAGTGGCGTTGGTTAAAAACACATTTCAGTGGCTTCCTTCTGCTCTTACGAAAGAGAGCAAAGCTTTCAACACAGCCTGCAGTCCTGCGGTGCTGGTCTTGTCTTGCTCTGCAGTCCTGTGTGTCCTGTGTGTACCTATCTTGGCTTCTCACCACCCCAGCCTTGTTTTGGTTCCGCTGGCACAAGCTGCTGTCTTGACTTGGAAGGCTTTCCCACTACTCCTTAGCCTGGCTGATTCCTCTTTAAGAGCTCGGCTTCACTGTCACTTGCTCACAGAAGCTGCCCCTTTCCTTCACAAGCCAAATTCCTTTAGCACATAGTATGCACTTAAGTTTTAATCAACGGATGACTATTCTGTGTTCTCACAGGTAACGTGTTATGGCAATATGTAAGCCTGACTTTCTGATGTAATTATGGTGCTACAGGCAAAATCACTCTATGAAGCCTAGTCCTGGGACAGAGCCTGAGGCTGTTTGTCTTCACCTTTGTATTTCCAGCAGCAATAACAGCATATGGTATATAGGAGGCTTTCAATGAACATTTATGCAATCAATGGATGAATAAAAGTTTCTGATCATTAGCATGTTTGGCTAAGTCCAGTCATTTACTAACCCGCAGAGAGGAAAACCTGGAAGAAGACCCAAAGGCAATCACAAAAGTACGTGATTTTACACAGAAATGCTTGGCTAAAGAACTGTGTCAAGGGTAGCCAATATGCAGATGGAGACAGCTCCTAATACGCTGAAGATTATGTAAATGTTTGTTAAATTAACGGCTACCACAGCAAGCACAGGATAATCGATCATTTTATTCTACGATTCTGAAGAACTTCTGTGTTTACTACTCAACTAAAATGTGTCTCGAACAAGAACTTAACACCCTGTGTTGTACCAGTAGCAAAGTGGTATTTTCAAGGCAACTGTATAAATTAATATTTATAAACCACAGGCATTCGAATGATAGTTAAGCTAAATCCAACTGCATTTTAGGAATCTAAGAAGATAGATGCCTAAATAGGGGTTCACTACTACCTAGTTGACCAACCAGAAGAGCAGACAAATTCAATTACCGGTACTCTAGTTATTCCTGTCAATCTTTGCACAGCATCAACAAGAATCAATTTTCCACTTTGTGCTCCACTAAAAAAATGTCCAATTCTAAGATTAGAAGTTAAATTTCTAAGATTAATAGCCTGGGATGAAAGGTACTGTGTGGTCCAATATGGCACTTAAATCACAAGAAGACTGCCAGCTGGCCCCATTACCTTCCGGCCACACGCCAAAAAGCTGGTCAACTGTGGATAATTTGATCAGAACAGGGCTTTGGTTCTAAGTCCACGCAGTGCTGAGACGCCAGACTATGCCATGCAAATTGGCAACTTACTGAACTTGCTCTCAAATTCCACGGGAGCTGAAAAGAGCTCTCAAGGAGAAAAGTAAGAATTCAAAATGGACAGCTACAAGGAGAGCCAAGAAGACTGAAGACAAAAAACCCTAAGCCCTAAGTACACACTTTGATGTTTACAACTTTACAAAAGCAAAGAAAACAACATCAAAGAAAGCAGGCAATTAAGCTTTAAAATGTCTTTCTTGAAAATTTTTCTCAAGTAAACAGCCTTCTAGAAACTTGTCATTACTACAATGCTCCCAGTTAATAAGAACACAGCCTAGTTCCAAAATAACCACCTGCCCCAGAGATTTCTGATAGCAACGTGTAAGTTACCATAATCAAAGGAACAGAAATGAAAGTCTAAAAATAAACCCACAAATTTATAGTCAACTGAGTTTCAACAAGAGTGCCAAGACAATTCAATGGAGGCGGGGGGGGGGGGGCGGGGGGAAGAATCATCTTTTAGACAAATGCTGAGGCAACTGGATATCCACCATGCAAAGGAGTTGGCCGCATACAAAACAGAGTGGATCTAAACTCAAGAGTTGAAACTATAAAACTTTTAGAAAAAAATATAAGAATATCACAACTCTGGATTAAGCAGTGATTTCTTAGATAAGACACCAAAAGCACAAGCAAACAAAAATAAATTGAAGTTCATCAAAATTATAAATGTTTGTACTTCAAAGGCCACCATTAAGAAAGACAGACACAGAATGGGAGAAAACATTTGCAAATAGTATGTCAATGGAAATAGATGTATCTAGTATCCAGAATATATAAAGATTATCATGTGGCATTAAAACGCCAAAGGAGGCCGGGCATGGTGGCATATGCCTGTAATCCCAGCACTTTGGGAGGCTGAGGCAGGTGGATCATAAGGTCAAGAGATTGAGACCATCCTGACCGACATGGTGAAACCCCGTCTTTACTAAAAACACAAAAATTAGCTGGCTGTGGTGGCACATGTCTGTACTCCCAGCTACTTGGGAGGCTGAGTGAGGAGAATCACTTGAACCTGGGAGGTGGAGGTTGCATTGATCTGAGATCATGCTACTGCACTTTAGCCTGGTGACAGAGCAAGACTGCATCTCAAAAAAAAAAAAAAAAAAAAAAAAAAAGACAAAGGAACCAATTTAAAAAACAGACAATGGATATGAGCAGACATTTCTCGAAGAAGATATACGAATGGCCAACAGGCACATAAAAAGATGTTCAACATCACTAGCCATCAGGGAAATGCAAACTGAAATCACAGTGAGACACCACCATACACCCATCAGGATGGCGAAAATAAAATACATAACAAGCACTGGCAAAAATGTGAGAAACTGGAGTCTTTATACAGCACAAGTGAAACTGTAAAATGTTGCAGCTGTTTTGGAAAATGGTTTGGCAGTTCCTTAAAACATTAAACACAAAATTAGCAAAACACCCAGTAATCCCACTACGAGGTATATGCCCAAGAGAATTAAAAACCCCAAAGTTTGTACACAAACGTTCATCAGTTGACAACTAAACAAAATGGGGTGTGTATACACATACAATGGATGACCATTTGCCCATAAGAAGAAATGAAGTACTGATACATTTTACAACATGAACTTTGAAAACATGCTAACTGAAAGAAGCCAGTCACAACCAGCCACATATTATATGATACATCTATATGAAATGTCTCGAACAGGCAAATCTATAGAAATACAAAGTAGGTTTGTGGTTTCCTAGGACTGGAGGGGTTAAGAGGTGAGAAATGGGAAGTGCTACTAACTACGGAAATTCCTTTGGAGTGATAAATATGTTCTAAAATTGACTATGGTGATGATTGCACAACTCTGAATACACTGTAAAAATTAATGAATTGTATATACAGATATTTTATTATTTAACTTCAACTTTTATTTTAGATACAGGGGTACATGTGCAGGTTTGTCACATAGGTATACTGCATAATGATGAGGTTTGGGGTACAGACCCCATCCCCAAGAAAGTGAGCGTAGTACCCAATAGGTGGTTTTCCTTTTATTTTAGGTTCAGGGGTATATGTACAGGATTGTAATATAGATAAACTTGTGTCATGGAGGTTTGCTACACAGGTTATTTTGTCATCTAGGTACCAAGCCTAGTTAGTACCCCACAGCTATTGTTTCTGTTCCTCTCCCTCCTCCCACCCTCAAGCAGGCCCCAGTATCAACTGTTCCTCTCTAGGTGTCCATGTGTTACATTTAGCTGTCACTTATAAGTAAGAACACGTGGTATTTAGCTTTCTCTTCCTTAGTTTGCTAAAGATAATGGCCTCCAGCTGCATCCATGTTCCTGCAAAGGGCAGAATCTCATTCTTTTTCATAACTGCATAGTGTTCCATAGTGTAGATGTACCACATTTTCTTTAACCAGTCTACCATTGATGGACATTTAGGTTGACTCCATGTCTTTGCTATTGTAAATACTGCTGCAATGAACTTAATATGTACATTTCTCTTTATGGTAGAGCAATTTATATTTCCTTGGGTATATGCGCAGTAAAGGGATTGCTAGGTTGAATGACAGTTCTGCTTTTAGCTCTCTGAGAAATTACCAATGGTTTCCACAATGGATGAATTAATTTACACTCCCACCAGCAGTGTATCAGTCTTCCCTTTTCTCTACATCCATATGAGCATGTATTTTTTAACTTTTTCATAAAAGCCATTCTGACTGGTATGAGATGGTATCTCCTTGTGGTTCTGATTTGTGTTTCTCTAAGGACCACTGATACTGAGCCTTTTTCTTATGCTTATTGGTTGC